CTCCCCCTTCCTTCCCCCGCCCTCTTCCCCTTCCGCACAGAAAGCTCGAGATGTCATCAACGCACTGACCTGCGACGAATCGTCTCTCCACCGCTACCTCCCACACCACCAGCAACAACAGATAGCTACCTCCTCCGCCACCTCCCTAAACACGGCTGGCATGGGCGGGTCTCTTTTTAGGAAACCCAAAGGCTCTTCCTCCTCCGCCTCCCCTCCTTCCACCGTGCCACGGCCATCCTCTGTTGCTCCCCTGCAAACCCTCCCTGTCGCCTTCCAATCCCCGGGGGCTCTTGTCACCCGCCCAGCTGGCACCCAAGTGGTGAGTGAGAGTCTTCTTTTCCATTTTCACCCAATCGTTTCTATTTCCTTGAGGGGACCCAAAAGCCACCTCTTTGCCGCTCCTCTACAAACTCTGCCTGTCGCCTTCCAATTCCCGGGGGCTGCTCTCACCTGCCCTGCCGGCACCCAAGTGGTGATTCCTGCATTCAAAAGACTCATAAGCCACCTCTTTGTTGCTAACCTGCAAAGCAAACTCTTTTTGTCGCCTTCCAATCCTCGGGGGCTGCTCTCACCTGCCCTGCTGGGACCCAAGTGGTGAGAGTCCTCTCTTCCCTCTTTTCAAAAGGCTCAAAAGCCACCGCTTTGCCGCTAAACCGCAAAGCGAACTCTTCCTGTCGCCTTGCAAATTCCGGGGGCTGCTCGCACCCGCAAAAACAAAATGTTTAGGCGCCTGGAGATCTGATAACCTTGGGTGAAAACTCAAACAGGTCTGCTATATTTCTGTTTCTTTCCTTAGTGCTTCTGTTTTTTTTTTTTTTTTTTTTTTTTTTTTTTGAGCGAGCAGGTACTGGAGAGGACAGAAGGAGGCAAAGTCTTGGTGGTGCACATTCCCCCTGCGGGCTTAACAAGAGAGGCAGTTGGCACTGGTGGATTCGCCATTGTAAGTTCACAGCTGATGTTTCACCCAGGTGGCTTACTATTGACATTTCACTTGGGCGGTTCGCATTCCGGTGGTTTTTCTCCTGACTTCTCAGGCTCTTTTGCTTCTGACACTGACTGTGTCCCTCTCACATCTCCCGTCAGGCATGGAATGCGTTCATTGCTTTTTGGACCGCCACAGCACTCACAGGAGGGGCGCCGCTTCTCTTCACGGCCTTCTCCATCCCCTTCTGGCTCGTAGGAGGAGAGTGAGTTGCTTCAGTCTTACCCCTCTCCTGCCTCTTCTCTTCTTCTCCTCTCCTCGCCGCTTCTCTTCACGGCTTTTTCCATCCCCTTCTGGCTCGTAGGAGGAGAGTGAGTTGCTTCAGTCTTACCCCTCTCCTGCCTCTTCTCCTCTTCTCCTCTCCTCGCCGCTTCTCTTCACGGCTTTTTCCATCCCCTTCTGGCTCGTAGGAGGAGAGTGAGTTGCTTCAGTCTTACCCCTCTCCTGCCTCTTCTCCTCTCCTCGCCGCTTCTCTTCACGGCTTTTTCCATCCCCTTCTGGCTCGTAGGAGGAGAGTGAGTTGCTTTGGTCGTAGCCCCCTCGCTCGCATCGTCCACCCTTCACACTCCTCAGTTTCTCCTCTCCTCGCCTCTTATCCTCCCGGCCTTCTCCATCCCCATTCTGGCTTTTAATTGGAGGGTGTGTCTTGTCTCCCTCCCCCCCAGTCTGTCCAAGAAGGCAGTTTCCACAGTAGCCGTATTGGTGGGCTTGGTGTTTGGCTGCCGCCAAGGGGGAGGGCAGGGAAGGGGATTCAACATCACCTTCCGCCTTCCACACTCTTGCTTTCCCTCCCTCCATCGCTTCTCTCCCCTTTTGTCTCTCCCTCCTCTCCCAGTCTGGCCAAGAAGGTGGTGTCTACAGTAGCCGTATCAGTGGGCTTGGTGTTTGACCGCCAGGGAGGAAGGGTAGGGGTGGGAATTCACCAGCTCCTCCTGTCTTCCACACTCGTGCTTTCCCTCCCTCCCTTCTCTCCCCCTTTCCCCAGTCTGGCCAAGAAGGTGGTGTCTACAGTAGCAGTCTCAGTGGACTTGGTGTTTGACCGCCAGAGAGGGTAGCAGGGAGAGCAGGTGTTAACATCACATCCTGTGCCCTTCTCTCCCTCCTGTCTCTCCCTTCCCCCCAGTCTGGCCAAGAAGGTGGTGTCAACAGTAGCAGTATCAGTGGACTTGGTATTTGACCGCCAGGGGGGAGAGCAAGGAGGGGAGTTCAGCATGACGTGGCGGGTGGGCGACCTCTGGAGTCACACGGAGAGGGGCCGATGTGCCGACATCTCACGCAGTGCCGTGGTGGTTGAAGGGGTGAGTGGAGGTATTGGGTGAGTGGCTGTAGGAGGTGAGTGGGCATCTTGGGAGGGACGGGAGGGCAGGGGAATGGAGCATCACATGGCGGTTGGGCGACCTCTGGAGCCACACAGAGAGGGGCCGATGTGCCGACATTTCACGCGCTGCCGTGGTGGTGGAAGGGGTGAGTGCGTGTGTTTACAAGGTTGTTAGGCTATACGTAGCGGTAGAGGGGGTGGGTGGGCGGTGGGGAGGGGAGTTAAGCATCATGTAGCAGGTGGCGGGTGGGCGACCTCTGGAGCCACACGGAGAGGGGCCGATGTGCCGACATCTCACGCGCTGCAGTGGTGGTTGAGGGGGTGAGTGGTGCTAGTGGGTTGGTGGTAACAGAGGGAGTAAAGGGGAAGTACAGAGGGCGGGTGGGCGACCTCTGGAGCCACACAGAGAGGGGCAGATGTGCTGACATCTCCCGCGCTGCTGTGGTGGTGGAAGGGGTGAGTGCAGGTGGAAAGGGTGAGTGTGGAAGGAAGGGAGATTGGGAGCGGTAGAGAGCGTAGTGGAGGTGTTGTGGGAGGAAGTTGAAGCACCCCCTGCAAAATGGGTGCACGTGAGTGAGGGAAAGAAGCTTCCCTCGATTGTGCTAGAATACAAGCTGGAACCCTTTTCCACCCACACACCCTCTTCCCTCTCTTCCGCCTTCCAGTTCCAAAACGGCGAGCCAATGGCGGTGTGCCAGCTGGCAGAAGGCGTGAAGGAGCACCGATTTGGAGGCGGGCTGAAGCCTGTGGAGCAGCAGTGGGTGGTGGGGCAGATTGGGGAGTTTTTGGGTATTGGGTTTGGGGGGGTGCTGGGGGTAGATGAGGAGGCGAGCAGGCGAGGAGGGAGGAACAATTGGAGTGACGATGAGGAGTGGTGAGGAGTGGTGGGGAGTGGGTGGGCGTGGTGGGGAGTGGTTAGGACTCAGAAGCTGGTGGAGCATCAGTGGGTGGTGGGGCAGATAGGGGAGTTTCTGGATATTGGGTTTGGGGGTGTGCTGGGGGTGGATGAGGAGGCGAGCAGGCGAGGAGGGAGGAACAATTGGAGTGATGATGAGGAGTGGTGAGGAGTGGTGGGGAGTGGTGGTTTGAGAGTTCTCAGATTTTGAGATGACTCAAAAGCCGGTGGAGCAGCAGTGGGTGGTGGTGGGGCAGATAGGGGAGTTTCTGGGTATTGGGTTTGGGGGGGTGCTGGGGGTTGATGAAGAGGCGAGCAGGCGAGGAGGGAGGAATAACTGGAGTGACAATGAGGAGTGGTGAGGAGCAGTGGGGAGTGGTTAGGGGTGGTGTTTGGGACGTCCTAGAAGCCTGTAAAGGGGCAGATAGGGGAGTTTCTGGGTATAGGGTTCGGGGGGGTGCTGGAGGTGGATGAGGAGGCTGGCAGGCAAGGAGGGAGGAATAATTGGATGATGAGGAGTGGTGAGGAGCGGTTGGGAGTGGCTAGAGCTGGTGTTCTGGGACGAATCGAAAGCTGGTGGAGCAGCAGTGGGTGGTGGGGGAGATAGGGGAGTTTCTGGGTATTGGGTTTGGGGAGTGTTGGGTGTGGATGAGGAGGCGAGCAGGTGAGGAGGGAGGAACAGTTCGAGTGATGAGGAGTGGTGAGGAGAGTGGTGGGTAGTGGTGGGGTGGCGAATTTTGTAACCCTAAAAGAGTATGGCTGGACGACAGGGTAGTTTGTTTGCACCGAGAAATATCAGGATTTCCACGCTCCAGCCATGATGGTAAACGCGTGGAAGATTGCCCATCTTTAGAAGTAAAAACGCAGCTCCTATTCCCCCCGGCAGTGAAGTTTTGCAAGCGATTGTGTATTAGCGAGTTTTGTAGTTTTGTAACTTTGCAATCGTTTAAAGAAAATCTTCTACACGCTTATCTTATAACGCAGTTTGCGTAACATGGATTGCTTTGCCTGTTTCCGAGGTGCAAGGGAACAAATTTGGTGAAGTGGTGTCGACTGCCTGACGTGGCTGGTTGAATGCAGGGTTACGTTTGGGAAGCTGCAGGCGAGAGTCAAGACTCAAGCCCAACCTCGAAGCTGCAGGGTTAGTTGGTTGGGGTTGGTTTGGGGCCGACCCCAGACCAGAGTGGCGAAGGGATCCTTCTGGTGCGGAAGGTGTGGCATGGGATGGGAATGGGTGGCTGGCAGGCACGGTACGACGTTTTGGTGCCAGACAGGCCAGCGTGGGGAAGTGCCGGTCAACGAAATTCACAGTCGACTGAATATTTATAAACAATATACCCTTGACCGGGTGGTGTAGATTCAAAACAACTAGAAACAATTTTCCAGAAAGGTTCCCGATTGCGTCACTACTCTCCGGCTCAGTTTTTGGGATCGATGGGTAATATTATTAATTCTTGTAGTCCAACCGCCATTCAACTGTGTGATATTGGCCCAGTGTCTTTGCGCGAGTGAGGTGGTATCGAGATCATTTGAACCTCTTGCTTCCAAATGTTTCAGTAACACTCCCTTGGCGGGCATCGTTGCAGGGGAACTACTGAAACATTTGCAGGGGTTGTGCTGTCACATCACGTTACAAACAGAACCTGCTGCAGTGATGCACCCTTGAAGGGACGTTCTCGCAGTGACAGGACAGGACGGAGGTTTCACTCACAACACAACACTGCTCAAATATACACCTGTGCCGCTCCTTGACAGCTTCACAAGCTAGTTTTCCAGCTCCCCCCTGTTTACTTCATACGGACGACATGGCGTCATCCTGGCACCTTACCGTTCTCGCCGTCTGCACTCTCGCGTTGCTCCTCGCGCCTGCTGCCGCGCGGCCCACCAAGGGGGATTTCATCGCCGAGGTGAAGAAGGCCCGAGACGCGCTCAATGACCCGAAACTGAACGGCCGACACCGTGCCAGTGTCACGTTCCTCGACAACATCATCCCCCAGATGGGTAAGCGCGCTGAGTGCATGCGCGCAGTGCGCGCTTGTGTGTGATTCACCCTTTCATCCTTCGGAATACTATTCCAAGTCTTTGTTTCAGTAATATCTTGCCTTCGTTAACCCTAGACATTTCACATTCCACTTTTCCGTGGTGATGCAGAGACCGACTGGAACCCAACGGACGATTTCCTTGACAAAGCCGACCGCAAGACCGTCCTGCTGCCTGACGACGTGGCCATCGCTTCCGCGGTGCCTGACGCGCTTTACTCCATGATGAAACCGAGCGTGAAACCCAGCGAGGTTCGCTCCTACAAGAGCTTGATTCGCGCGAACATTCTCGACGGACTCTACGAGGAGAGCGACATCAAGTCCGCGAAAGATCTGAAGGACGTGAACGGTCGCAAGGTGGATAAGGCGAAGGTGAAGGTCAAGGGTGGGAAGCTTTTCCGGGGCAAGTATTTTATCCTTCAGGGGGTGGACTCAGTTCAGCCGTTACCAGTTTGAATGTTTTGAGTTCACTTGCTCCGCTACACTGAGACGCGTGTTAGTGTTTGGTAGCATATCGTTTCGTATCGTAAAGACATACCAACGTTGGGATAGTACTCATTTCCAATTTCCTGTTTTTTTTTCGCGTGTTTTTTCATGCTGCACTGTGAATGATATGTATTGCTCGCTCCATTGACTTGAAAGCGGAAAATGTTTACTTGGCATCACACATGGAAAGCTAAAGATCCAATTTACTGTTTGATCCATCTCCTGCCTGATAGGATCACACGCATTATTGTGATACTCTGCTGCTCCTTACCTCATCATGTTGACTACTCTGCTGCTCCTTACCTCATCATCTTGACTACTCTGCTGCTCCTTACCTCATGTTGACTGCAAGTGGCTCTAGTGTATCAAAACTCTATTGTTACCGTATTTGAATATTGGCGGGTCCTCTAATTTTCTCTTGCGAGATAGGTATTGTATTTTCTCTTGTTACCGTATTTTCTCTTGCTAAATAGATGGCTAAACTTCGCTGGAAATGTGTTTTTTTTTTTTTTTTGTGGGGGGGAATCTCAACTCCAACTCAGAACTCCCACAGCTGTACAGACCCTGGTCACCATGTGGTACTGCACTGCATCTACTCTTTTTTTCTCCTCTCCTGCTGTGCTGCCTTTCTCGCCCTGTGCTTGAGCTCTGCCTTCTTCCACTTCACCATCAGTTCAACCGTACTGATCATTAGTTGCACCTGCACATGCACATACAAAAGTTTGCAAGCGCACATACAAAGCGCGGCATGAGAGAGGGGGGTAGGACAGAAGGAGGAGCAGGGCCGATGTCTCTTTTTTTTCTGCCCCACAATGAGTATTAACTGTACTAACCACTAGATGCAACTGCACATGGTAGATACAAGGAGAGTGCGGCATGGGCTATGATGGGACGAGGAGTAGGTCAAATCAGGATCTGCTTTCTTCCACTTCACCATCAATTCAACCATACGGATTATCAATTGCAACTGCACATCGTAGATATAGAAGAGCGAGAAATGGGAGGGGTATGACGGAAAGACGAGCATACCAGAAAAACTATCCCAACGACCAGTATTATACCTGAGAAGAGCTAACCTGGATGGGTCAACAACCTGACAACGAGCTGTGCCCACCACTTGGTATCTTCTCACCAGAATGACAATCGCGATGACGAGTATGGGGCCCGAGAAGAGCACCGAGACGAAGAGCCCGTATTGGTCAAAGTAGTTCTGGCGGGAAAAGATCTTCCAGTGATGCGCCGCGTACGCGTTTATGTGCTCCGCTAGATAGACTAGTATGGCTGAGCGATTGTGGAAGGGGGGGTAGAGGGGGGGGCGAAGGCGTGGAAAGGGGGAGCTATAGTGGATAAGAAGCGTGGTGGGGGTAGAAGTACACGGCAGCATATGCATTTATGTGCTCCGCTAGATAGCAACTGCAGAAGGGGGACGAGAAGGGGGGGAGGACGGCGAGGAAAGGGGGAGCAGGAGCGGATAAGAAGAGTGGGTGGGGGAGTACAAGGCAGCATACGCGTTTATATGTGCTCCGCTAGATACACCTGCATGGCTGCATGGTTGTGGTAGGGGCGGGGGGAAACGGGGCAGGAAGGCAGGGAAAGGGGGAGTAAGAGGGGGGAAGGAGGAGAGGAGGAAGCACAGGGTAGCGCATGCATTTCTGTGCTCCGCTAGATACACACCAGTATGGCTGGAGAAAGAGAGAGGGGAGCGGAGGGTTTGAAGGAAAGCCAAGGAGGGGAGGGGGGAGGGGTAGAAAATATGTACAGATTGCGTTTGAAACACACCAGTATTGCTGCACGATCACATGAGGGGTAGACAGAAGAGGGAAGGGAGGGGGGGGTGTGGAGTGGGAGGGGGAAGCGAGAAGGGTCGGAGGAGGGGCCGCCAGAAATCCAGGTGCAAAAGATTGCATGTGTTTCTGTGCGCCACCAAATCTGTGCGTGAAGAATTTTGAGACGCCCTCAAAACTCGTTTCTAAGCATGCTACCAAACATGTATGTGTGCAATGACGAGTAACAAGTGGGAGGAGTTACAAGAAGACACAGGGGCGGAGAATGCAGTTATAAGCTCAGCCAGGTACCAGGATGCCTGCTGGGGCTGCAGAAAAGTGGGTTGGACGGGTTTTGGGCGGGTTTACCAGAATATCTTAAACCCTGAACTGTAAACCCCTCTTGCAGATGCGTGGGTTGGGTGGGTGGGTGGGTCAAGAGGGTGGGTTGGTAGCTTGCAGATGGGTGGGTTGGGTGGGTTGCAAATGGGTGGGTTGGAGGAAGACGGATGAACAGAGAGGGAAGAAACGGGGTGGATAACGGTGAACAAGCGCATTCAAACCGCACCGCGACCACAAGCCGGTTTGAATGGGTTTAGGACGGTACGAAACAGTGAGGGGAAAACAGGAAAAGGGCTGTAAGTTTAATCGAAATGCCTCCCTTGAACGCACTCAATGCACACACGGCGAATTGTGGGAGGTGAAAAATCTGCTATTGCCGTGTGTGAAGGGGACAAACGGATGTAGGGAAGGGACCCGTTCTGCAAGAGCACGTTCTCTCAAACGACACGTGGACACACTGCATAAGGCACGTGCAATCACCTGGACACGTGCACTCACCTGGCCACATGCAATTACCACGTGGCCTCACCTGGCCATGTGCAAACCACGTGCACTCACCTGGCCACGTGCAAACCACGTGCACTCACCGCAGAAGGCGAAGACGACGAATTGGAAGTTCTGCCATCGGCGAGTGAGGAGGACCATGAGAAGCAACGCGGCGTGGAACGACAGTAGCCCGATGATCCATGGCTCCTGCGATTCGTCAACGAGCCACGCGAACGGCGGAAAGATCGGAACGACGGCCGTGAGAATTCTAAGAAACAGATCGCCTAGGCAAGAACGGAGAACCCTGCATGCATGCTACACGTGATTGAGGATTCCAACCAGCTGATAAATCCGCTTCAAGATACGCCCATATCAGGTGTAGAAGTGGGTCTCACCGTCCAATCAACGGCGTGGATGAAGGCCTGGATCTGGTCGGTGATCGGAGGGCCGTCGGTAACCTCTTTCCATTTCGACTTGAGCGCGTCTGAGAAACTCTGAATTAAATTCTCGAATTCGTCCATCGCAACAATTTTAACCCTAGTAGCGAGTGTTCGCGTGCGAGACCAGAAGCAGGAAAGGGGGAAGACTAAGAGTGTGCGCGTGTGAGAGGCAGCGGTTGTCTTGGGTTGTAAGGCTGATGATTGTTGTTGGTCTAGACTTTAGGAGGATATGTTGCGGAAGGATCTGCTCTCGATGCTTGTGTGGATTCGCTATACGCGTCATAGAGAGACTGATCTTCTGTTTGTGGAATATCGACAGCGCAAAACCGACTTTCAAAGCTGGAATGCTAACTGCTGAACAATAAAATTGAAGCATTGATGATTTCCTTGGGATCTGTTACGAGTGCAATTGAGTGAACGAACAAGAACTGCACTATCGAAGCAAGAGTACAATGAGCGAAGGCATGAGCGAAGAATATATAGCGAAACTACAGTGGTAACGGTAATGGACTGTGGTTGTCGCGCGACGGGCCTGGGACTGAGGTTGGGGAAAATGTCGAAGCGGAGGCCCGGAGCGCGGGTTACCCGCCGAGCCGTGAGGTCGGGATGCGACGTGCGAAGGTGGCGGGAGGATTGTAGATGCGAGGGTTGCGAGTGGTAACGGTGCTGACTGTGGTGCTACAGTGGTGTACGCGCTGAGCGGGGACGCGAAGTAAGGAAAAGGAATTTTCCTTACAGGATCCAGCCTACGCGAACAGAGGGAAAACGTGAAAATACGAGTGCAAGGAGAATAAGCACAGAAACGATCTGCCTACTTTCGAACCCATCTGACAGATGAAGCATCGGGCAGGTTCGTAGCCGACACGGTAGGGCGGGAGCTCTCACCCCACCTCCAAAAACACCGTCAAAATTGTGAGGTGGTGTTTCAGGTTCCGGAGGCGGAACCCAAAACGAACCTCGAGTTCCTGATGACATGAGACAAGTATGGAAATATTCGTACTTGTTCGGTGTTGTTGAATGTCTCTTGGTGATCCTACCAGGAACTTGTGCTCCTACTTCACATCGAACTTGGTATTAATCATGCCCTGAGAAGCAGACTCAGCGGTATGTGACCTGTGTGCTCCATCCACAGAGCCTTCAAAGCTGATCACACAGTTGAACGCTTTCTAGATTCTAGACCCTGACGCTACCTTGTTACGACGACACGATTTACGCGAGGCCGTTACTATCCAGTTCTTATCATCCAGGTTCCCTGCTAATTTACTTCTTCTCCAGGAGCCGCAATCATGGTACGGTCGTGTCTGACGAAATTTCGTTTTGCTCGCGCTGAGTTCGGCCAGTTCAGGCTCAGTTGAAAGCTGTTACATCCCATCCTGTCTCTTCTGTCCTCGTCGCTGCAGGTTTGCGTTTTCTGTCTTCTCCCTCTCTTCCTACTGCCTCTGGTCAACATCCTCCCTCGTTTGTGGGACAAACTAATTGTATGTCGCCACTGCTTACTATCAGCGTATCCCTCCCAGACAGCTCCTTAACTTCCCGCTTGGTTTCGTACAGTGTTCCTTCTTTTATATCAGTTTGCGACATCGTTTTTCGTTAATCTTCTTACGTAGCTCATTTGATGCGATGCACTGTACCTCTCTAGATTCGTCCGCTTATCGCCGTCGTATCGTCCTCTTACTACTATCGCCATGTCGCTGCAGGTGCTCTTCTTCCGTCTGATTGGCCGAGAATACAATCCACCGCTTCGAGATGGTCCTTCATGTCCGTACAAGCCAGGAGCGAGAAAACAACTACCAGTAAGTACACTCCTTTTCATTACTCTGTTTGACTACCTCCATTAGTTTGTCTGGCCCCCTCTTCTTCTCCCCCTCCCTCCCCTCCGCCTTCCCTCCCTCCAAACCAATCCCCCCCTCCCCTCCCCATCCCCACGCTCCTTCCCCTCCCCTCTCGCCTCCTGCAAATGCCCTTTGTCACACGTCCCGCCTCCCTAGCAGCTAGTGTTTCGTTCTTTCTTGCTTCGTCCATGCGTCCTACCCTCGCTGCCGCACCTGGCCACATCTTCTTTCCTCCTCTTTGCTGCAATTAGTTATTTCCCACACACCCCTGAATCATCTCGTTCCTTGCAGGAGGCTGAACCCATATTGGCAAACGGTGAAGGAAGTGCAGTGAATGGGTCTGCTGAGTCAAAGAAAGACTCTTGACAAAACTGGTTCCCCTTACCCATGTTAACATTCTGTGTATAAATTGTCATACCGGTAAGTTCTCATGTGATGACCGTAGTTGTTGCTGCTGCTAAATCATATTTCTAGTTGTTGCGTGGCACTCCAGAGCTGGTACGGTAGTTGACATGCAGCACTCAGTGGACAAGCTATTGCTCCAGTCGCACAAACTTCATTGACCCATCATTACCGTAACTCAAGTCAATCCACCACTGCACGACAGACAGCCAACTTGCAGGTATTGTTTTACCACGAAACCTAACCACAGCCTGTTAGCGTGTAACAACTAAGTGTCGTTATCAACATTGTCGATTGTCAGCCGCTTCTTGTCGGAAGGAAGAGGCAGATTGAGCAAGACACGGCAGAAGAACTCATGTTCCATTTCCAGAGCTGCCTTGATGTTGTCCGCCTGCCAGGTTACAACGTAACCACATACGGTAAGGACATGGTGAGTATGTGCATACGATCACAATGAAATAGATTCGGCAAGACATGGCAGAAGAAATTGTGCTGCATCTCCAGTGCGGCGTGGATGTTCTCTGCCATCCATGTTACCATGTAACCATGGAAATGTATACGACGGTGGGTGACACTGTACTCATATGGCTCACATTTCTGAAGCCGTGGTCTTCATCTGGAAACTCCACAATCGCCACCAACAGCCCCTTAGCCTTCATTGCTGCGTGCACGGCCTAACCTACACTCGCTTTACAATCACATTGTACCCCCACGGCTTCACCACACTCCCACGGCTTCACCACACTCACACGGCTTACCCACACTCACACGGCTTCACCATACTCACATTCCTGAAGCCGTGGTCTTCATCTGGGAACTCCACAAGCGCCACTGGCAGACCCTTGGCCTTCACTGCAGCGTGCATGGCCCGGGCCTGGTCAGGACTCACCACCTGGCAGGGAAGGAAGCAAGGGAAGCAAGGGAAAAGACAGGGTTATTCAGATGGATTGGAAACAGACAGGCGAATCCTCGGCCTTCACTGCAGCGTGCATGGCACGGGCCTGGTCAGAACTCACAATTTGACAATGCATAAACGCTCTCACCGTACCTGATCCTTCAGTCCCTGCAGCAGCAGCAAGGGGCATGCAAGCTTGTCGACATGGTTGATCGGGGAACGGTCCCTGTACAGCTGCTTTCCCTCGGGAGTGTTGTACGGCGCTGGGGAGAGAAGAGAATGGAAGTTTGGCAGAAAGAGGGGAGAGTAGCAATCGAGTTTCATTGGAGTCACTTTGATAATTCTTTTGCGTAACAGACGAATGGAAGACGGAGAAGGGAAGTAAGACCTTTTAAAATTCAGTAATGATCTCAAAGCGAAATATATTAATGACACAAATATAACAAGTCCTTTCTCCCACAACATACAATCTGTTCTACACGTTCTACATATCATATTGAAATCATTTTAAGCTCAAGTGCTAACTGCATTAGCAGGAGACACCCTCCCCCCCTCTCCCAATCAAGCCCCCCCCACACACAAAAAGCAGAATGAAGTTTTCAAAGAAACGAGTAACTTACCAACAAGTGTATCAGTGTAGTGCTTTTCATATTTGTGCATCATCTGAGCCAGAGCCTCGAGATCTCCAATCTGCTCAACAGGTGGGAGCAGGCAGGGATTGTTTTGATCCAGATTCAATTTTGAGGATTCTCAAACGTGACTCAAAAGTCACCTCGCTTTCCATATTTGTGCATCATTTGAGCCAGCACCTCGATTTTCCCGATCTGCTCAAAAGAAGTGACAACAAGGAAAGTCATAACTGCAAGGGATAAGAGGCATGCATTCAGTGCCAGTCGGTCAGTTGAAGTAGAAATGAGAGGGAAGGAGGAGTTGGAGAGTATATGCTTTAGAAATGATAGGTTGTTTCAGGCAGGCTTGCTATAAGATATGAATAGACTAATGAAAACGCTCATCTTAGTAGAATGCTCTAACAAATCAACTGGACCACGCCTTACCCTGTACAAGGAGCATCCGGCCTTGAAGTTAGAGCGGAAGGTGAGAGCCGAGAGGGTGGTGAAGCCTCCTGCTGATGACCCGTCTATGGCCACCTTAGTGCCGTACACCAGCCCTGCACGCACCTGTGGGGAAGAGAGTGGGGGGGTAGGGTGAGTAGGCAGGGAGTAGGGTGCGGCGGGTTGGTAGTGGGGAGAAAGTGAATGAGGAGCCTTCATGCCGATGACCCGTCTATAGCCACCTTAGTGCCGTCCACCAGCCCTGCACACACCTGGGGGAGAGTGGAGAAGGTGGGGGGGGGAAGGGAAGGGGGGAGAGGCAGGTAGCAGGGTGCAGGGTCGGCAGGGTGAAACGAACAGCCTTCCTGCTGATGGCCCGCCTATGGCCACCCGAGTGCCACCCACCAGCCCTGCACGCACCTGGGGGAGAGTGGAGAGGGTGGGGATAGGCAGAGAGGAGTAAGTAAGCAGAGAGGGTGGTGAAGCCTCCTGCTGACGACCCGTGAATGGCCACCTTGGTGCCGTCCACCAGCCGTGTAGAAAGAAGATTTGACGTCCACCAGACGTCTCAAAAACCACCTTGGTGCCGTCCACCAGCCCTGCACGCACCTAGCGGGGAAGATGGAGGGGAGACAGATGGGAGTGAGTAGGCAGACAGGAAGCAGTTGCGGCATGTGGAAGCAGAGAGGGTGGTGAAACGAACAGCCTTCCTGCTGCTGATGACCCAACTTTGGCCACCCTGCTGCCGCACCTTAGCGCCATCCACCTTAGAGCCTTCCACCACCCCTGGTCGCATCTGGGGGAGAGGGGAGAGGGAGGGGGGAAGTGAGTGTTTGGTGGGGCAGAGAGTAGGGTGCAGCGGTTTGGTATGGTGGAGTGAGTGAACAGTCCTGCTGATGATGTCCCGTCTATGGCCACCCTGCTGCCGCCCACCAGCCACGCATGCACAGGGAGAAAGTGGGGAAGGGGAGGGGTTGGGAAGAGAGTAGGTTGGGGTTAGGCAGAGAGGGAGTACTGGTGGGGGCAAGGCAGGGTGAAGGCAGATGAGAGTGAGCAGGCAGAGGGGAGTGAAATGGCAGAGGGGAAAGGTTACCCGGAACTACTAGAAAGCGTTACGGAGGTGAGGTGGTTACCAGATACTCCACGCAGCAGCATGCATCGTGAACATCCACCACGCCCCATTGACCATGTGTGGTTTGAGTCAACTCAAAACGCACCTGAACACAAAGACCAAGCGGTTTTGAGGCGCCTCGAAAGTGAACAAAGAGGAAGTACTTACCAGATACTCAACGCAGCAGCATGCATCGTGAACATCCACCACGCCCCATTGACCATGTGTGGTTTGAGTCAACTCAAAACGCACCTGAACACAAAGACCAAGCGGTTTTGAGGCGCCTCGAAAGTGAACAAAGAGGAAGTACTTACCAGATACTCAACGCAGCAGCATGCATCGTGAACATCCACCACGCCCCATTGACCATGTGTGGTTTGAGTCAACTCAAAACGCACCTGAACACAAAGACCAAGCGGTTTTGAGGCGCCTCGAAAGTGAACAAAGAGGAAGTACTTACCAGATACTCAACGCAGCAGCATGCATCGTGAACATCCACCACGCCCCATTGACCATGTGTGGTTTGAGTCAACTCAAAACGCACCTGAACACAAAGACCAAGCGGTTTTGAGGCGCCTCGAAAGTGAACAAAGAGGAAGTACTTACCAGATACTCAACGCAGCAGCATGCATCGTGAACATCCACCACGCCCCATTGACCATGTGTGGTTTGAGTCAACTCAAAACGCACCTGAACACAAAGACCAAGCGGTTTTGAGGCGCCTCGAAAGTGAACAAAGAGGAAGTACTTACCAGATACTCAACGCAGCAGCATGCATCGTGAACATCCACCACGCCCCATTGACCATGTGTGGTTTGAGTCAACTCAAAACGCACCTGAACACAAAGACCAAGCGGTTTTGAGGCGCCTCGAAAGTGAACAAAGAGGAAGTACTTACCAGATACTCAACGCAGCAGCATGCATCGTGAACATCCACCACGCCCCATTGACCATGTGTGGTTTGAGTCAACTCAAAACGCACCTGAACACAAAGACCAAGCGGTTTTGAGGCGCCTCGAAAGTGAACAAAGAGGAAGTACTTACCAGATACTCAACGCAGCAGCATGCATCGTGAACATCCACCACGCCCCATTGACCATGTGTGGTTTGAGTCAACTCAAAACGCACCTGAACACAAAGACCAAGCGGTTTTGAGGCGCCTCGAAAGTGAACAAAGAGGAAGTACTTACCAGATACTCAACGCAGCAGCATGCATCGTGAACATCCACCACGCCCCATTGACCATGTGTGGTTTGAGTCAACTCCCACTCTTTCTCGCTCCAGGTCCTCCCCAGGTAGACCCCCTCCCTACGCCAGGTCCTGCTCCTTTAGGTGTTTCTCAGGTAGACCCTCCTGTGCCTGCGCCTGTTGAGGTCACTGGTGACTCCGGTTCTGCTAGGGGTGGTCCTGCTCGGGGTGCTGTCTCTGGGAGTGCTGAGCCTGGGGGTGCGGAGCCTGAGTGTGAGGAGCCTGGGGGTGCTGAGCCTGGGGGTGCGGGGCCTGAGCGTGAGGAGCCTGGAGGTGCTGAGCCTGAGCGTGTGGAGGCTAGCGGTACTACGCCTGCGGGTGCTGCGTCTGGGGGTGCTGAGCCTGAGCGTGAGGATCCTGGAGGTACTACGCCTGGGGGTGCTGCGTCTGGGGGTGCTGAGCCTGAGAGTGCGGAGCCTGGGGGTGCTGAGTCTGGGGATGCGCCGCCTGAGGGTACTGCGATTGCTGGTGCGCAGTCTCCTTGGAGAGGCCGCCTACGTTCACGTGCGCCTCTCTCCCCTCAACAGCTGCACGAGTGGTACACTAGCCGCCAGGGTCGCGCTACTGGAGCTCGGGGCTCTGCAGCTGGGAGTGGTGCTGGTACTTTGTCTACAGGAGGTGCTGGAGTCGCTGGTTCCAGAGGTGCTCGTACTGGAGGTACTGGAGCTGCTGGGACTGGCGGTGCTGAGTCTGGGGGTGCCGCTGCTGGAGACCTTGGGGCTGGGGGTGCCAGTTCCGGGGGTACTGCTGCTGGTGACGCTGGTACTGGAGGTGCTGGCGCTGGTGGTTATGGGGCTGCTGGTGACGCTGGTACTGGAGGTGCTGGCGCTGGAGGTTCTGGAGCTGCTGGTGACGCTGGTACTGGAGGTGCTGGCGCTGTAGGTTCTGGAGCTACTGGTGACACTGGTACTGGAGGTGCTGGCGCTGGAGGTTCTGGGACTGCTGGTGGTGCTGGTGCTCGAGGAGCTGGAGCTGGAGGTTCTGGAGCTGCTGGAGGTGCTGAAGCTGCTAGTGGTGCTAGAGCTGCCCGTACTGGTGGCGCTGCGCAGCCACGACTGTTCTTTGCTCCGCCGTCTCCGTCGTCTCTGCCACCGCCTGACTCCGCGCTTTGCCGAATTCTTAGCCTCCCGTCGTCTACTGGTCTTCCGTTACAGCCTGGCTCACCGCTCCCTGCTCCCTCTCCTTACACTGAGCAGCCCGGAGGTCTTGCTGAGCGTCGTGAGCCTGCGTCGCGTCCTGTCTCGCCTATTCGCACTGTCCGCACTGGTCGTACTGGTAGTCGTGTTCCTCGTCCGCGTCCGCCGGCTGTCCCCGGCACACACCTCATGGCTCTATGTCCTTCCTCTGCTCCGCAGCGTGTTCCTCTGCCGTCTCCTCCTGCGTCGTCTCTGCCTGCCGTTGCTGACCCTGAGTCTGACCAGTTTCGTACTGAGCACCCTACTGTCACGCGTCTGCTAGCCAATGTTGTCACTGACCCGTCGTTTGAGTCTGCTGCTGCGTCTGCCTTCGTCGCTGAGCTTGTTGACTTTGCTGCTGCCTGTCGTCTAGACTACGCCGCTAGTCTTGTCGCTGAGTCTGAGTCTGTCTGTCCTCCGTCCGTCGGGGGTGAATGTGCTCTTAGCACGGACGTCCTTGAGGACATGCACGAGGACCTTGAGTGTCTTGCAGCCGCTGGGCCTCATCTCGTGGCCATGTTGCTTGCCCCTGAGGGAGACCCGGATTCTCCAGACATCCCGACCCCGAGCTCTTACGCTGAGGCGATCGCGGGTGAGTACTCCTCTCAGTGGCAGTCAGCCATGGATGCAGAGATGGCATCCTGGAAGTCCACAGGCACCTACGTCGATGAGGTTCCCCCTCCTGGGGCGAACATCGTCGATGGCATGTGGATTTTCAAGGTGAAGCGGCCGCCGGGTTCTCCGCCTGTCTTCAAGGCTTGTTACGTTGCTCGAGGTTGCAGTCAGCGGGAGGGAGTCGACTTCTTCCAGACCTTCTCCCCCACCCCGAAGATGACCACTCTTCGGGTGCTGCTGCACGTTGCCGCTCAGCATGACTACGAGCTTCACTCTCTTGACTTCAGCACAGCCTTCTTACAAGGCAACCTGCACGAGGAGATCTGGCTGCGCCGCCCACCTGGCTTCACTGGGTCGTTCCCTCCTGGTACCCAGTGGAGCCTCTGGCGGCCAGTCTACGGTCTCCGCCAGGCGCCGCGTGAGTGGCACGACACACTGAGGACGACACTTGCGGCTCTTGGGTTTGCTCCGTCGACTGCTGACCCGTCGCTGTTTCTGCGCACCGACACTTCGCTGTCGCCGTTCTACATCCTCGTGTACGTCGACGACTTGGTCTTTGCCACTGCTGACATTGAGGCTCTCGCCCTGGTGAAGTCGGAGCTGCAGAAGAGACACACGTGCACAGACCTTGGTGAGCTGCGCAGCTACTTTGGCTTACAGATCACCCGGGACAGAGCACGCCGCACCATCACACTGACTCAGTCACACATGGTGCAGCAGGTCCTTCAGCGCTTCGGCTTCACCTGGTCCTCAGCACAGGCCACTCCTCTGGCTACAGGTCACTCGCTCTCAGCTCCACCTTCGGACGAGTCCGTAGAGCCGAGTGGTCCTTACCCAGAGCTAGTGGGCTGCCTCATGTACCTGATGACCTGCACTCGTCCTGACCTTGCGTACCCTCTTGGCCTTCTGGCTCGCTACGTGGCTCCTAGTCGGCACCGAAAGGTGCACATGGATGCTGCTAAGAGGGTACTACGCTACTTGTGCAGTACATCGGGCATGGGGCTCGTGCTTGGAGGACGGGGCGACGTTCTCCTCATTGATCACTCAGACGCTTCTTGGGTTGACGACCAGGCTACGCAGCGGTCGTCACAGGGTTACACCTTCAGCCTTGGCTCTGGTTCAGTTTCTTGGCGTTCTAAACGCTCGTCTTCAGTTCTCAGCTCCAGTTGTGAGGCTGAGATCTACGCCACAGCCATGGCTGCACAGAAGCTACGCTGGCTCACCTACCTGCTGACCGACTTGGGAGAGAGGCCTCGTTCTCCTCCAGTGCTGTACGTCGACAACAAGGCCGCCATTGCCTTGTGTCAGGAGCACAGACTGGAGCACAGAACGAAGCACATCGCTCTCCGCTACTTCCTGGCTCGAGAGTTGTAGCAGCGTGGTCAGCTTCGTCTTGCTCACGTGGCCACTCGGGCCAACACTGCTGATATATTCACCAAGGCACTTCCGTCTGGTGATCATCAGCGTTTCTGCACTTTGTTAGGCCTTGTGCCCACGTTTCCTCACTTGCTGTAGACTTTACTTGTACTGTGATCTATATATATACTTGCATACTTGCTCTGCTAGGTAGAGATCACTGTGCTGTTGTTGTTGCATATATACCTCTGCATGTGAACTGGCCTTGTGGCCCTCTGCTTGTGCTCAGTGTGTGTGGTAACGTTGTGATCCACCCTGAGCTTGCTTTGCTTCTCTTGACTGGTCTTGTGACCCCTTGCTCTCTCCCACTTTGCCTATGGGGGTGTGTCAAATTATATATCTGCTATATATGTTTAGGCTGTAGTGGGGTAGCTGATATGGGGTACAGCCCCTTTTAGGGTTTCATATTTGTACCCAACTCTTTCATACTGCATTCACTCCTGCCTAGCATTCTTGGCAAGAGAAAGTGCACCGCCAACAGGATGTAACAATAGCTACACAGACACATCCAAGCCCTACTCTGGCTATATAATTTATGGAGATAACTTTTACGGTATGATGAGACATGGTAAATGGAAAAGAATATAGGAGCAACATCAACATGGTACATCAGATTGAACCTCAATCTTCATCAGCAACTCACCATATCCTACACAACACATCTAGCTACTATGGTCGGGCGAAATCACGCTCCAGATATTTCTAAGTTCTGTGACTATACGGTCCATGTTGATTCGAGCCCTCAAGCTCGGATTAGTGGCGAAGCGAGCCAGAACAACCATTTGAAGAACATGCTGCGGTGACCACTCGTCCTCTACAGTTGGGTCAGTAACCGAGGAAGCGTCGCTGAAATTTCTGGGGCTGACCGTCTTCTGCAGCTCTTGATACCTTGGATCGAGGGGGGGATAGCCGAAAATCAGCTCCAATAGGAAAACACCGAATGCGTATGTGTCAGCCTCCTGGGTTAGTTGGCCTGTCTGCCAATAGTTTGGGTCGATGTAGCCTAACGAGCCGACCACTGCTGTTGACACGTGTGTTTTCCAGTCCTCGATGGTGCGAGCCAAGCCGAAGTCGGCCAGCACTGGAGTGAAATCCTGCAAGTTACAGGTTACAATTGGAGGGAATTGGGACATGGGAATAATGTGTGAAGTAAACTAAATTCGACGAGAATCGAGATAATGAGAAATCACAGGATGCTGGATTAAGCATTTTTCAGCTGAAAAATGGCTAGCACAACATAGTTGGGAAAACAAGAATTATAAAGCAAGAGGAGAGAGAGCACACATACAATAGACATGGAAATCACAAGCTAAACTCTCTAACCTGCCATACCTCTCGCAGTAGCACGTTTGACGACTTGAAATCACGGTGAATGAGCCTCTTTTCGTGAATGGCAGCTAGCGCCTCGGCACACCCCAGCGCAACCTTCACACGATCCTTCCAGGGGAAACGTGCTTCTTTCCTGCGGACTGGATGGGGGAAGGCGAGGGAGGGAGTGGGGGGAGACGGGGGAGGGGGAGCGGTGAAGGTGGGAGGGATGGGGGGGAGAGGGTTGGAGGAAAAAGTAAAACCTCACTTGCGAGATATCATGGGAGAGACGCAATGCTGACAGCAGCTGACAAGTGAAGGCTGACCGACCCGGCATTTCCAGGCCCGGCATTTCCAGGCCTGGCATTTCTAGGCCTGGCATTTCTAGGCCCGGCATTTCAAGGCCTGGCATTTCTAGGCCTGGCATTTCTAGGCCTACCATTTTTAGGCCTATTATTTCTAGGCCTACCATTTCTATGCCTGTCATTTCTAGGCCTGTCAATTCTAGGACTGTCATTTCTATGCCTGGCATTTCTATGCATGGCATTTCTAATGACGGTCATTACGGCCTATCAAGCAAGTGCAGCTGTACCAACGAGAGAAGAGAAGACATGTGAGAAAAAACGCGGAGGTCAAACTGGGTAGATGGGGGGCGGCGAGGGAGAGGGGTTGAAGGGGGTTGAGGAGGGAGGGGGGATGAAGGTGGTTGAGGAGAGAAATTTCTGTCATTACGTCGCTTCAGGGATCAGCTCATACACGAGATCCGCTTATTGTGGCATTCCCACCCCCCCTCCCCCAAGCCACCAACTGCAAAACAGTCGAACAACGTGAGAGGGGACTCTTCTCACCTAGTAGGAAAAGTTTTTTTTACGTGGCCTCGAGGAATAAGCTCATACATGAGAAGAGGAGGGGTAAGATACATGAAGGGGTGAGAAAAGGGGACTCCTCTCACCTCGTGCTAGAAGATTCTTGACATCGCCTCCCGGGATGAGCTCATACACGAGAATCGGCCTCTGCTCCATGTCCATAGCCACGCCTTCTAGCTTCAGAATGTTGGGGTGATTCAGTGCTGACATGGCTTCCACCTCAGCCTGAAATTACGGAACAGAAACGAAGCACATTTGATTGGACACAAACGCAAAGAGGGGAAGGAACGGCACGGATTTTGAGGCTAGCACGTGTTTGCTACATGGTTCCTTTTCTTCTCGCCAAAAGAAGTTCAGTAATTTTCAACAATGTTTCTTCTTCTTCAAAAAAATTGGCCACCAAGCATTTCGTACCCCGGGCTGCCCGTCTACGCACTAGAACACTCACCACGAGGCTTTTCGACTCGAGTCGACTCAAAAGCAGTTTAGGTTTGGCCACCACAGCTAGTAGCATACCCCGGGCTGCCCATCCAAGCACCAGAGCACTCACCTCGAAGCACCTCATGTCTCTCTCGGTGAATTGTCTGCCATTCGTCACTTTGACTGCCACCTCACGCTCCCTCGTCGCGCCGCCGTCCGCAGCCTGCGGCAGCATCAGCCGCCCGCGGTACACCTGTCCGAACCCCCCTTCCCCCAATAAGTCCGAAAACCCCCCCGTCGCCGCGCGCAGCTCCGCGTAGCTGAACTCGCGGAGCGGAGGGAGGCCGGCGGACGTCCGCGCGGAGGCGGCGTCGCGCGCGGAACTCATGGCGGAAATCTGCGCGGGGAGGGAGGACTCGGCGGGGGAACTGGCGGGGAGAAGCGGCGGCGGCGGCGGCTGTTGCGCGGGGGGCGCGGCGGAAAAGCTCGACGAGTCCGACGCGGCGCGGTAGGCTTGGGGGTCGAAGCTCGAGTTATAGTAGGCTGCGGAATTCAAAGGGTCGTAATAGGCCGCGGCTGCCGCTGCGGCGGAACTCGAAGGGTCGTAATTGGCTGCGGCGGAGCTCGATGAGTCGTTGTAAGGGCTGCGGGACTCTCCGGATGAGGCGGCTGGGGCGCGCGGTAGTTCTTCCGCCTGAGGCGCCGGCGGCGGGGAGGGGGAAGGGTCGACCGGAACCACTTCGGAAGGGTGGAGGCTCCGCGGGCGGAGGAGCGGCGCGGATTGGTATGCGCGGTGGTCCGCAACGGAGGACGGCGAATACGACAGCTGGGGCGCGCCGTCCGTCTGTTGTGCGGAAGCGGCACCTGTTCAGGGTGATACCAGGGGGGGAGGGGAGGGGAAGGAGCGGGAAACGGGAGGCGCGGATTGGTATGCGCGGTGGTCCGCTATGGAGGACGGCGTGTATGACTGGAGCGCCAGCGGTTTCGGTCTGCTGAGCGGAAGCGGCGCCTGTGCTGGACAATTAGTAGTAGTGGGGACGGAACGGAGGTGCAGATTGGCATTCCCAGGTGGTCCGCAACGGAGGACGGCGTGTTTGACAGCTCGGGCGCGCCGGCGGTTTCGGCCTGCTGAGCGGAAGCGGCGGCGCCTGTGCGGAGCGACAAAAGGGAACGAAGGGATGGAAGCTTGAAAACAGCAGAGGGGAAACGAGTTGAAGCGGAAATGGAAGAAATATCTCAACTGTGGCAGTGGCAGTCGAAGTCCGGGACGCGAATCACCTCGATAACTATGACTCACCTGTCGCTTTCACTGCACGCGCCTCTCCGTCGCCGCGGAAACAGCTGACGCAATTGCCCATGGCTGCAGTGAAGGACGCGAGTTGAACGCCTCGGCGCAAGCAGCCTCAGGCCAAATTTTTGAACGCCAAATATTTAAATAGGGCCTATATAAGGCTGAGACTTTGTTTTCGCTGGCGACAGCGCTTGTCGTCAACGTGTAACTCGTTCTCACGCCTCAGCGGCTTCTGAAGCACTAAGGAGCTGCCGCCAGCTGCTACTTCTCTCGGTGCTTTGATTTTCAAACTCAAATGACGACATGAGCTTCAGAGGGAAGTGATAAATTGTTTGTGCTGAACTGACGGGATTGGGCTGGGCTGGGCTGGAGTGATGGGAGGGAAAGGAATCGGGGCTCGGGATTAGAGAGTGTCGAAAGTGTACGTCGAAATGCGGTTGAGTACGTTTTTCAACAGTCCCAAGTCATTATTTAAAGAATCAAACTGGTTGGGTAGGATATTGTTGCGAGTACATACTTTTCGGACCCGCCCTTAGGGGGAGAAGAGGGGGAAGGGCTTCCAGTTCAATGCCATGTGTTGAATGAGTCGGACTCGCACGCGGATGTGCAGAATAGGAGGGACGGGGTGTGACAAGCGTTTTGATTGGTCACGCGCGAGCGAGCGAATCAGGGAAGGGAGAGATTTGTTTTTTTTCCGCGGTGCGTGAAATTGATGGTGCTGGTGGTGGGACGAGGAAAAATGGATGGAAAAAGGCGTCAGTTGTCTGACGATTGCTACTACTGTCGAGCAAGACCTGAGCAAGTGAACTGACAATTCACGCACCAAACCACACGAAAACGCACCAAACCGCACTGAAACACACCTTTGAAATCTGCCCGCAATTGCATCAGGCGAATTCCCCTCTTCCCACACTCCCTTCCCGCCGCTCACACCACAATCGAAGTTGTGGCCGGGGTCTTCCTCGCTCTTTTCCTCCACTCACACCCACGAAAACATGTACCGTGCCGTGCACGGAAATTCTCAGCCCTCACCCCAATTCGCTCTCACATGCGACTTGGTTGAGAATAGCCAATCAAAAGGCCCCTCACACCCTCAATCCAAAGCCCTCCGCGTGCGACTCGGAATTGAAGCAATTGCAGGGAAGAGCCCTTCGCCGCCATCCTCTTCCCCTTCCCCTTCCCCTCCCCCTCTCCCTCCGCCCCAATAATTCCGATTCCTCCCCTGTCGGCCCAGCCCAACCCAATCCTTCAGGCAAAACAGATTCCCCTTCGCCTCTCACACTAATTTCCTGAATCGAGTTAGAAACTCTCGAGTGCCGACTGGCGTTAGAAGAAGTGGCAGCTGGCGGCAGTTCCTCGCTGCTTCAGGCGTTGCCCGGTCGCGCGAGAAGTCGTTTGACGAGACACGTCGGCGACAACCATTGTCGCCAGCGAATCAGAGTCTGCTTGCTCGTTCAACTCGCTGCATCATTCACTGCATTCAGCGTTCGATTCGAGGCGCCTCAAATAACCCGCGCTGCAGCCAGCAAATCAGAATCTCAGCAAGCAGGCTGCTTGCGCGTTGAAACTCGCTTCTTTCACTGTATCATCTGTTTAAACGCCTCAAAGACCGCTGTCGCCAGCGAATCAAAGCCTCAGTCGCAAGCAGCCTGCCCGCGCCGCGTTCAAATCTCCTACGTCACGCCGCCATGGGCAATTTCTTCAGTTGATTTCGCGGCAAAGGAAAGGCGCGGCCTGTGAAAGGTGAGCCAGAGGCTAATCTGACAGAAATTTCTGTCGAGGTGCGCGGCGACGGAAAGGCGCGGCCTGTGATTCCCGGCGACCAGAGGTTAATTTGACGTTTATGAGTTCTAACGAGGTGATTCGCGGCGACGGAAAGGCGCGGCCTGTGAAAAGTGAGCCATAGGTGAATCTCACAGGAAGTTCTTCGAGGTGACTCGCGACGACGAAAATGCGCGGCCTGTGAAAAGTGAGCCAGAGGTTTATCTGACGTAAGAAATGACGACGAGAGGCGACAGAGGTGAGGAGGTGAGTCGCGGCGACGGAAAGGCGCGGCCTGCGAAAGTGACGGATGATGGTGAGTCATGTTTGTAATCGATGCATTGCGGAAGGTAACGAGTTCAACTGGCTGACTCGTCCTCATCGCGGAAACAAACTTCGACTGTGACTGCCAGTCGTTTTATTGAACGTTTTATTCGTGCTCAGAGATCTTCATCCGAGCCGCGCCTGATATTTCTTCCATTTCCGCCTCTCTCAATCTCCCATGAAATTTGTCTTCTGAATCTCGTTCTCCTCTCAGAGGCTGCTGTTTTCCCGTTCCGCTCCGTTCTCTGTTTTCCATTTCCGCCTCGCAGAATCTCCCCTGAATGTGTCCGCCACTTTAGCTCGTTTCCGCTCTGCCTTTTTTCTACCCCCGTTCCCCATGCTATCTTTGCTCCGCACAGGCGCCGCTTCCGCTCAACAGGCCGAAACCGCCGGCGCGCCGCTTCTCATCCCGGCGTATACGCCGTCCTCCGTTGCCGAACACCGCGCATACCAATCCGCGCCACTCCTCCGCCCGCCGCGGGGCATCATGCAGCCTTCCGAAGTCGTTCCCCTTAATCCTCCCCCCCCGCCTGCTCAATCCCCGGCGGAAAACCCAACGGCGCGCGCTCCCGCCGCAGAGCCTTCGTGCTCTCGCTCCCCTGCCAGCCGAGACAATGCTCCCCCCGCCGCCGCCGGCGCAACTGCATGCGCCGCGCGCGACTCCGCCGCGCCCAGCCGGACGCCCGCCGCCCCCAGCCGGGCGCCCGGCGACGCCTCCCCTACGTTCCGCGAGTTCAGCTACGCGGAGCTGCACGCGGCGACGGGGGGATTTGCGCCTGCGCGCGTCATTGGGGAGGGGGGGTTCGGAACGGTGTACCGCGGGCGGATGGTGCTGCCTGCGGACGACGGCGCGATGAGGGAGTGTGACGTGGCAGTGAAAATGATGAAAGACGAGCAATTCATTGATCAAGAGCTCAAGTCCTTCAAGGTGAGTGCTGTAGCGCGTACAGAGTGTTTATTGTTGTGGTCGGACCAGAGAAGGAAAAGGAGAAGTTTTACCTTGATTCTAAATTCACAGAACAAACAAAACAGAAACCATGAAGCGAGTTTTGTTCCTACGCTCCTCGCCTGTCCAGCTCAATCATGCCTCTGATATTTTTGTTCCATATTCTCAGGCTGAGGTGGCAGCCATGTCAGCGCTGAAACATTCCAACATTGTGAAGTTGCAAGGCGTGGCGTTTGACACGGAACAGAGTCCACTTCTCGTGTATGAGTACATACCCGGAGGCGACGTTACGAATCTTCTCAAACGAGGTGAGCAACTTTTCAGTCGACTCAAAAAGAATTTTGACTTTTGAGTCGACTCTACAGTCAGAGGCCACTTCTCGTGTATGAGTACATCCCCGGAGGCGACGTTACGAATCTTTTCAAACGAGGTGAGCAACTTCCTCCCTCACTTAGTTAAAGTGGTTTGCAGTTGGTGGTGGTGGGAAGGAAAATCCGCTTTGATTGTCCCCTTTTCCGCTCATTCTACCCTCACTCCCCTCTTTTTCCCGCTTTCCTGTTTGCTCTCCAACGCCCTTCCTCACATATGTCCCTCTCTCCTCTCGCTCATGCAAATGCCCTTCTAAATAGGACGTAATGACGTCCCATAAACTCTCTCACGGTGGCTGTTGTCTGCATTTCTTTCTCTAATATGTTGTCTCGATGTGTTAGGTCCCGTTTTTCTGCTCCCATCCTCTTTGACACCCACCTTCCTTACCTACTGACCCCCGCCCCCCTATCCCGCGCCTGCACTGCTCTCCCTGCCCCTACTCTAGTCCGCAGGAACTAATTACGATTCATGATTCCACTTTTTCCCCTATCCCCACTCTCCCCCCTTTCCCCACTCTCCCCCTCGCCTTCCCCCCTCCAGTCCGCAGGAACGAAGATCAGTTTCCGTGGAAGGAGCGTGTGATGGTTGCGCTGGGGTGTGCCGAGGCGCTAGCTTACAGTCATAAAAAGGGGATCATTCACCGCGATTTCAAGTCGTCAAATGTGCTTCTGCGCGAGGTACTGCGGGATTGGTCCAGAATACGTGTGTGTATTTCTTCTGCTCGCTTTTCGTGTGTGTTTATAATACTTCTATCCCCGAGCATGACATGTAGACCGACTTTCAGCTAAATTGCATTCGCTCCAACACATGCTAAATCTGTATCAGCATCAACATGTGATATTTCAGCCCGTCCCATTTGGGTTACATTGGCATATGATTTCCATTTCCCCCTTTTTCTTACCGTATGTTACTGTAACCTGTAACTCACAGGATCGCTCGCCTGTCGTGGCTGACTTTGATTTGGCTCGTTCAATGGAGGACTCAAAAACACACGTGTGGACAGGGGTGGCAGGCACGTGGGTCTACATCGACCCGGCCTATTTTCAGACGGGCAAATTATACCCGAAATCTGACACCTACTCGTTTGGTGTGTTTCTTTTGGAGCTAGTGTTCGGCTACCCTCCCCACGAAGAGGAGTACAAAGGTCTGAAGAATGTGGTCAGACAGAAAGATTTAAAAAATCCTTTGTTGGTTGTAGACTATACTATGGAGGGGCAGTGGAAAAAGGAGCATGTTCTTCAAATCATTCATGTGGCTCGATCAGCCACATTCCCCATGTTGGATGCACGCCCTGAAATGAGGGAAGTAGTAGGGGAACTTCGGAGAATTTGGAGCGAAATTGAAAGGTGACTACTATGGCTGACTTTTGTTAGGATGGGTTACTTGAAACAAAAATCTGTTGGGGTTTATATGCTTTGTTGATGTTGATTGTACGGTAGTAATGTATTCCGGCCGCTAACCACTGGGACTGGGATAAACGGGCTTGTTGCATAGCAGGTGAGCGAGTGCGCCCAAAACCCCCGAGACCAGAGTGCTTGTAGCCCTTCTCAAGTGAGATGAACTACGCAGCAGTAGGGTGATACAAATAGGCAACCCTTATGCCCATCAAGTGTTCCAACAATCTGAACAAGCGACGGGCAGTCAATCAACTTACAGTAAGGCATCTCACAGCTGCAGGATCTGGGAGAATTCACAAGCGATGAAGGAAATGATGATGAGCCACAAGGAGTAGCAAAAATCTACGGTTTCTACGGTACACTCTACACCCTGTCATGTGACTCATGTCATGTCATCCTAAATTGTTTTCATAGTCTTGCGACCGGCCTTCTCTGCTATCCACATCCATGCCCGCTTGCAACCCTCCACCGAACCCGCCTCCCCCTACCCCTCCCGTGACTGCCGCTTCTTCCAGGCGCTGCCACGTGGCGGCGCGTAGCTCCTCCACGTCAGCAGCGCGGCCCTCCTCCTCCAGGAACTGGCGCTGGCACTCGTCGTAGAGCGGCTGGTCCATCTCGAGAAACATCTTGCGCACGTTGATGGTCAGCCCGTTCACCGCCTGGGGGGAAATGGGAGCAGGGAGTGGAGTGGGAAGAGGAGGGAGAGCAGACGGGGAGAGTGGAAGGGCAGAGGAGAATAGGAGAGAGAGCAGAGGAGAGAAGGGAGAGCAGAGAGAAGGGAGAGGAGCAGCAGATCATGCATTGGGAAGGGGGAGGAACTGGCGCTGGCACTCGTCGTAGAGTGGCTGGTCCATCTCGAGAAACATCTTGCGCACGTTGATGGTCAGCCCGTTCACCGCCTGGGGGAAAGAGGAGGGTGGGGGTTGGGGTGAGGGGCAGGAGAGCCGCGGCGTAAGGAGGGGAGGGAGAGGAATGGAGGGGAGACGGAGAGCAGAGGGAAAGAGGAAGGACAGGAGCTGAACAGGATGCATTGGGCAAGGCCTGGTTTATCTCGAAAAACATCTTGCGCATGTTGATGGTCAGCCCGTTCACCGCCTGGGGGAAGGGCGGGGAGAGGGCAGTGGGGAGGGATAGGGGAGCAGAGGGGGAGAGGAGGGAGAGGAGCACAGCACAGAATGCATTGGGCAAGGCCTGGACCATCTTGAGAAACATCCTGCACACATTAATGGTCAGCCCGTTCGCCATCTGGGGGGAGGGGAGGGAGGGAGAGCCGTGAGGAAAGAGGGGAGGGAGGGAGGAGAAGAGGACGGAAAGTAGAGAGGGAGACGAGGGAGAGGAGCAGCACAGTAAGCATTGGGCAAGGCCCGGTCCATCTCCAGAAACATCCTGCACACGTTGACCATCTAGGGGGGAGGGGAGGGGAGAGAACAGCCGTGCGGGAGGGCAGGAGAGGAGGAAGATCAGGGGAGGAGAAGATGGACAGCAAAATGGGAGAGGAGGGAAGAGAAAGAGAGGCAAAAGCACAGTGAGACGGAGGAGGGAGAGAAGAGGGCAAGGGAGGGAGGCAGAGCAGCACAGCATGCAGTGGGCCTCCGGGACTCATCACAGGGAGCCTGGTCCATCTCTCATGAAGGTGGGGAAGGATTAGGGATCCCAAACCACGAGGGGATGACAGAATATGCTTACAAGGAAAGAAGGATCGGTGAAATACCACAAACCCTCACAGCAAGGGCGGGGGTCAGCAAACAGTTATTGTCAGCATCACGCTTTAACTCCCTAAACCCTGGAAAATCGACTGGCAAGGCAACTGATATTTCACCTTTGACCAACCAAAACAAATGTAGACCCTCGATTTAGCCGCCTTGAGTCGAGGAAATCGGTTGGATCAAGAATCAACTCGACTGCTAATTTCTAGAGCAGCTGCTGGTTCCAGTGGCTTCAGACTGTGCTACCACCGGGGCCTCTCCTGTACCTGAAGCTGCGAAAGTCACTGTGCCTCGATTCATTTGCACCATCGACCCTCTCAGGTCAGAGGCATGCCAGTTCAGACGCTGTATCACCCTCCCTACCTGGTGCCAGTGGCTTCCGTTTGTGCTACACCCATGGCCTGCCCTGTATCTGCTAGTGCCACCCTACCTGGTCCCAGCAGCTTCACACCGTGCTACAGCCACGTGAAGAGAGGGTATTTTTGAGACGTCTCAAAAATGGGCAGTCCATGCTACAGTCACATCCTACCACATACCTGCTAGTGCCACACTACCGGCACCATACCTGGTTCCAGTGGCTTCTGGCGTTGCGCTCGAGAGCAGCGAAGATGAGCGGCAGGATAGTGGAGCGGTTCTGAGCCACGAGCGTGACGATGTAGTCGTTGTTCCACAGGAACAGCGTCCTCTCAGCCACCTGCATGGGAGAGGGGAGGGGGAGGGGGAGGGGAGAGGGGGGAGAGTGGGGGACGGGGTGCGGGTGGTGGGGGAGGAGGGTATCTGTAGGGGGCATCCAGGCTGATAATTTGACATATGGGCCACAGGCGTATTGGTTCAGTTCTGCGTCACGCGCGTCACGATGTAGTCGTTGTTCCACAGGAACAGTGTCCGCCACCTGGGGGGGAGGGGGAAGGGGAGGGGGGTGTGAGGGGGGTTTGAGGGGGGCGTGTGTGAGGGGGGGGTTGAGTGAGGGGGGGGTCTGTGACGGGAGTTTGTATGTGCATACATACAGTGCATGTATGAAATGCGTGGTGTGATGTATGGGCCACATATGTGTTGGTCCTGGGCCACCAGCGTTACCGAGTCGTTGTGGTTCCACAGAAATTGAGCACGGGCTCCAATAATTGTATTAAGCCGCGCTATATGAAGTATAGCTCAAAGTGGGGCACAGTCGACCAGCTGTAACAGTTACCAGTCACCAGAATGACCGCGCATTCGTTTTCTCCCTCAGGAATAGAGGGCTTGATGAAATATATGTTTGAGACAGTACACGGTATTTGTAAACATGGTCGGCTATGTATGGAACAATATAAGGCATGAATACGAGCACAATGTAAGTATGGGGCAATATTTTGTATAAACACGCGTATGGGACAGTGAGTGATGGAACCATACGTCGATACATTGTGCGTATGGGACAATGCATAGTAGGACACAAGGTCATGCATATGACCCATGGCAAACCAACACAGGAAAGGGGGAGATGGTGAGGAGTTATGCGGCGGAAATGTGATCACTTGCACGCTGAAACAGTGTAGAGACCGGGGAACTGGCCGGCCACAAGCAGAAGGGAGACCCGGGGGACGCGGCCGCAAGTGGGAAAACGAGGAGCGCATGCATGACACGTCAGCAAGACCCCACAATATCAACGAAACCCTAAATAACGCCAAAACACCAGGATAAACAAAGACCCGCACCGACTTGAGGCGCCACACCGTGCTGAAGAACGGCGAGTTCTGAGTCGACTCTGAGGTCGTCCTTTGAGATGTAAGCGGTGCTGACCGATTTCAACATTGCTCGCACTTGAATCCAGAGATCAGCATGTGAGGACTTTAGAAACATGGTGGCCTGAGGGAGCGTACCTGAGAGTGGCGAAGCGCGGTACACGAGTGCGAGGAGCTGAGGCAGCGCGCAATCTGCTGGACTGCAGGCGCCTGCGCGGTACCGCATGACACCCCCTCACACATCCTCACATCCCATCACACCCCTTCACACCCCAGCACCGTATCACATCCCCGCGCACTGCACCACACCCCGACACACCCCGTCCCACCGTACCTGGAAGTGCGAGGAGCTGAGGCAGCGCGCGATCTGCTGGAACAGCTGCGTTATGACCATCTGAAACTCCGGCGCCTGCGTAATAATGCGTGACACCCCCTCACACCTCCTCGCACCTCCGCGCATCCCCTCGCACCCCCTAACACCCTCCCACACCCCCTCCCACCACCGCATCACATTCCCGTGCACTGCATAACATACACACACACCCCGTCCAACAGTACCTGGAAGTGTGAGGAGCTGAGGCAGCGCGCGATCTGCTGGAACAGCGGCGTCATGACCATCTGAAACTCGGGCGCCTGCGTCAGCTCCAGAATCTCCTCCAACTCCCCCAGGAACAGCACCTCTTTCTGGCTGTTAGTTAAGGGCCAGAACTTAAGCAACCCGCGCAGCACCAAATCCGCGAGCTTCGGGTCTTTTTCCACAAACTGAGTGATGCAGTACGACAGCTGCTGGTGGTACATCGACACGCACTTAGGCTTGTGCAGGGGAACCAGCGCGCGGACCAGGAACAACTTATGCTCCTCCTTAAGCGGCAGCGCGAACCCGTTAATAATGCTCCCTAGAATCTCCAGCAGCTCCGCGATGCCGTTGTGCCGCTCCGACTCGTAGATAAACCGGTAGAATATGTTGTTGATCGCCTTGCGAATGAACGGCCGGTGCACCATGAATTTCCCGTAAATCCGGTGCAGAATAGTCTTCAAATAGTCCCGCTCGCGAGGGTCCTCTGAGTCGAACAGGTTCAGCAGCTTTAAGATGAACTTCTGGTCCACGTAGCGCTTCGCCACCTTCGCGTCGGTCTCGTTAGAAACGACATACCTAAGCAGGAACTCGTAGACTATTTGCAGGTGCGGCCACGCAGCTTCCATAGTCGGCTCTTCCTCCTCCGGGTCGAACGATTCCGACCCGGACATCTCGTGCGCGGACGGCGGTAACGGCCGGAAGAGATTAATCTCCAGCATGCGCGTGATGTCTTCGAAAACAGCCTCGTTGAATTTCCCGGTTCCGGAATTAACGTAGTCGACTAGTTCCAGCAGCGTTTGCCGCTTAATCTCCTTCTCCTTAACGTTTTTCATGGGGTCGTTGAAATCGAAGAGGTAAGTGCAGAGATGCAGCTTCCGAATGAATAAAGCCTGCTTTTCCTGCGGACCCACGTCTCTAAACAGCGGCAGCGGCTCCGCGAAAGGCGACGCGTTCGCCTGCGCGATCACTTCGTTGGGGTCGCGACGAACGGGAGCCGTTGGATTCGCGACGCCAGGAGGCGGATGCGGGCCTCCCGCCTTTCCGGCGTTCGCTCCCCCTGATGCAAGCTTCCCCGAGCCCGACCGAGCAATGCCACCCGCCGCTGCTGGCGCCGCTGCTGCATTGCCTGCATCGTGCGACGCTGCGTCTGACTTACCCTGCTTTTTCCGACCCCCTGCAAACGTCTTCTTAACCGACTGAAGCATGCTAAGTCGTTTTGTGCACTCGAAACCCTAGCCGCTAATTACTATCGACACGAAATTGCTAACGTTGTTCGGCTTCAGTCAAGCAGGAATAGCAATTCCTAGGCAAGGAGAACTTTCTGGTCATGGCCGAAACCAGAACGCGAAATTAGGTCAACACCGAAACTCGCCAGGCGTCGAGTCCAAAACGGCCTACTTCGCAAAACAAGAAGCGACCATATGGCGAACCAGAAATGGCATCCAGCGGCTCGGTTACGACGATTAACGAGTTGCGAATCAGGCTCGTAGGATCCTGGACTGAGCCGCCATGGATTATGACAGGTGAGCTCCCAGGGTTGAAAGGATAAAGTAGATGGGGAAACGCGTTGAGTTAGCAGGCGAGGGATGGTGTGACGCAAACGAAAAGAATGGAGAATACAAATAAGGGTGATGTGCTTATAGTGGATATTCTGTTGGAGGAAATCGTGTGGTGCAGGGGGGGTTGGTTCTGGATTGATGTGGGGGTGGTTCCGCCAGCTGTTGGGGGCGCGGAGAGTGAGGGGGGGAGGCATGCGCGGAGACCAGTGAAGACTTTGCGCTGCTACTGTTGAAAGGGGGGGGCTCGAGCGGGAATGCTTCCTGTGCAACCCTGGGTGATGCCGTTGACTCGTGATTCGGGGGGTCGAGTACCCTACAACGAAACGTACATCGTTTCGTAAAACTAGTTTTATTTATTGGCAGTCACTCCAAACAGCACATTCCCGTGCGTACTTCATATGAATGTAAAAAGCTTATGAGATTTGACAAAAACGATATTACAGAATGTGAGACTGCACACCAGAATGTTTGAATGTGGTGAACAGGGCGAAAATACGGTATGTGCCTATAACCAGCAAGAGAGAGGGAGGGAGGGACCAAGCTATAACGCAGCACCAGGCAAGTCAATACAGCCCAACGGCTCAATAGACCGCTCTGAAGCCCTTTTCAAGACACCTCCAGCCCATCACGAGGTGACAAAACAAAACTTCTTCACCAAGGCCCCTTTCCCCATGATCAACCTTGGGAATGACGTCCGTTACTAAGCTGCCTTTCACACGTCTCAAGGACCATGACACCCGGAAGCCTCCTTCAGTCACTTTCTTTATGCCAGCCTCCTTTCGCCAGCCCCCTTGCGCCAGCCTCCTTAAGCCAGCCCCTTTAGCCCAGACCAGCCTTATGAATGCCATGGAGCTTACTAACATTCTCCAGGTACATGTTGAAATCATCAATGCGATGCGATGCCTGTGCAGCTTGCTTTCTGTCTCAAAAATCCGAACCAGAAGCCTAAATACAGCCCGCTTAGCCTGGGCCGACCTTGGGAATGTCGTGGTGCTCGCTAAGATTCGCGAGGTACTTGTTGAAGTCCTCCACGCGATGCCTGTGCGACTTACTCGCGCCCCTAGCGGCCCGCTCCGCCTCTAGCTTCTCCAGCTGCTCGTGATACCGCCGCTCCGCGGGCGTGCGGAGATCCTCCGCCTCCTCCTGCGCCTGCTGCTCCCCCTCTTCCTCCCCCCCCGCCCCCCCTACCGCCACTGCGCCTGATTCGTGCAATCCCGCTGCGCCGCCGCGCGCTTCCTCTTCTTTAAGAGCCGCTTCGGCGTCCCGAAGCGCTTGCATCTGCAGCGAGTCGAGGTTAACGGCTTTCCCGGCCTTTTTCTTCTTCTTCTTGACGCCGCCTATGGACGGCAGCGCGCGGTCGCCGCCTTTCAGTTTCAGTTTACCGCCGATGACGTTGTTGAACGACATCGCGACGTCAGGTTGGACGTCGCCGTCTGGTGGCCGTCAGGTTGGACGTCGCCGCCTGGTGGCAGCCAAGCTGGTCGCAGTCTAGCCGTGTTTTGAGACAAACGAGAGCCGACACCCGTGCTTTAAGAAGATTACGACGGATCGCGATTGGTGGATTACATTTCAATCGGCTCTGGCCCGACGGACGCAATCACGCTGCTACAAACGAGATTCGCAGAACCCCTGTGATTTTCGCTGCGCTACTCGACGGACCAGGGAAAGAATGGCAGATGTGAGTGGTGAGAGAGATGAGGCGGAGGGATGGACGACACGCACGACAAGGAGGATGCTAGGCCAGCGCGGGAAGGAGGGTCCGCGGCAATGGACGTGTAGAATGAAAAGTTCTACCTTCCACTAGGTTCCAAGAGCGATCGAGCCGATGAAACCTTGGTTTTCGAAGGCTTCACTCTAGCGCTGTCAAACCCCGAGGCAGTCAAATCAGGAAAGAAGTGCAGCGAGCGGAATATCTCGGTTGGTAACCGTATTGCGATCATCGTTGAATGAGAGAATTAGCTAATTCTCGGTTAAAACAGTATCGTTTAACAAAGTCTACAAGGAAAGCTACGAACGCTCACTCTTAGAAAGTGATTTACAATGTCTTCTAAGTAGGCTATCTATCAGATATACATAGTAATGGTCAGCAAAAAATAAACACCATGCAATCAGCCTGAAACTTCTCCCAGCTGCAAACTCATCCTGATTTCTAAGGTATGCTCCTCTAAAATCACAGCCATTGATTGCCAAAAGGGCACATCCCCCGCATTATTGAAGCTGCCCATCTTCCCACGGACCTGACGTTTTTCTTAGTATGGTCTGGTCATTTAAACATATCCTAAGTGTCATGCTGTTAAATCGCCCTCTTTCATCATGCGCCCACTATCTCCTCCTTCGCTTCCGCCATCAACGCCTCTAGAGCATCCACATCAGCTGGAACTGCTGCTGTCAGATTCTGCAAGGTATGGAGGGAATGGCATGACAGGCATCAGGAGGGCATGAAAGACTTGTGTTATGGTGCCGGTGATGCTACACACCATCCACGCCACCCACCACTATCAATGCCTCTAGAGCATCCACATTGGCTGGAACCACTGTTGTCAGATTCTGCAAGATACAAAGGGAATGGAATGACGGCACCATAGGAAGGATTGGCTGATAAATAAAAAGCAGGACTGCGGTTACATAATTGGAGTGGCCATTTCGAACATGCGAAGTCGCCTTGAGAAGTATTAAAAACCGCACAGTGAAAGATGATGTCGATGAAATGAACATGGAACATGGCATGTTGTAGCCCCACGACTCTCATGCACGAGCCATACATACACATGCCGACCCCATACCATCATCTAATGTACCTGGAAACCCGATAAAAAATATGTGCATGTCTGTTCTATTAATGCCAAACGTACAAGGCATGTGGTATCATAGCAGATGAACAGATAGGTAGTTGAATAGAAGATGTGTAAATGAAAGATTAAATAGATATGTCTGTAATCACAACGATTACCTCGAAACCGTCGGCCGTGATCAAAATGTCATCCTCTATCCGCACACCTATGCCACGCAGACTGGGGGGAGGGCAGGAGGTGGAAAGACAGGGGAGAGGACGGTTACGATGGGGATAGCAGATGTGTTTCGAGTCCATTCATAAGAATGTCATAAACCATCCATACTTCCAGGGGAGTGAGAGAGTGGCAGAATGGGAGGAGGAATGGAGGGCAGAGGATGATTTGAGACGCGAATTTGCAATTTCTTCCGCTTACACCCGAAACCCAAAACCCTGGACCTTGCACACGCTCATGTCAACCCACGCCTCTCATTACAGGATAGGCATAGGCACGGAGCTTCGGTTTCACATGAGAGGCGAATCTACAGTAAATTTTAGGAATTCTCACAAGCGACTCAGACATAGGAGCAGCGGTATGGTTTGGAGTCACAGTGCCGGTATGGTATGGTGTGAAGCATGGCTGGCATGGGAGTACAAGCACAGGATCTCAGTGGTGTAAGACACATTATGGGATGGGGGTCTGACTGCTCTTTTGAAGCGCCTCAAAGGACGGCGGCATGGGGAGCATAAGTACAGGAAAGGTGTCTCACTGTTTTGGCACTTGGTCAATGTCTGGGAGGTAGAGGCCTGGCTCGATTGTCAGCACCTGGGGATTGGGGGAGCATGGATGGCAAAGCAGGAGAATGAGAGGGATGGAGGACATGAGAGGGAGCGGTCAATGCCGGCTGTGCTTCAAGGCACTTGGTCAATTTCCGGAAGATAGAGGCCTGGCTCAATTGTTAATACCTGGGAGGGAATTGGGGGGAGCACGGATGGCACAGTAGGAGGATGAGAGCAGGGCGTATGTTAACAGTGGACAGAAGGAGGGCACGATGGGTTTCAAACGAGGTCTAGGTTGCTTGTATTCCATCACTCCATGCAAATCACACAGCTAATGCGCTTAAATCCCGAAATACATCAGGGGTGCCCCCCCCAGGAAGTCTTTGAAAGCAAAGTAACACGAAACGGAGAGGGCTCACCACACCAGGTGTAAGGGGATGCAAGGAGGAGACCGATGCACAGTCGTGTGTGTCCAGCCAGCCCTAGCCAGTGCCCTACCATGCCATGACAGTGCTCAAAACTCACCACGCCGGGTTTAAGGGGCTGAAATGAGGACACCGATGCACAGTCGTGTGTGTCCAGCCCTAGCCAGTGCCCTGCCATGTCATGGCACCATCCATCCATGAACATTCATGGCATCACAAAACATACCACATCCATGCGGCCATCCATCCCACCACCATTCCACCGTGCATACCATCATGTCATGTCACCCCCAACACATGCAAAGGATGCGCATCCAGGCATGCAGCAAGCATGCGATGTGTTGGCTTGAACGCATTCGATCCTATTATGTTTGATTTTCTGCATATCAACAAACGTCGTGATTGGAGCAAGAATACGAAGCAATGAGCCATGACAAATCATATGTTTATGGTGTAATATTTGAAAAAGAACGTGGTCAATTCGCTTATGGCTAAAACGATGGGTTTGGAAAAAAAAAAACACGAGTCCAGGTTGAGTTGAGGTTGCTAATGTAAGGAAAATCGCTAACTGAGCAGCCTCACCAACAGAGGTCGGGTAGAACTGCCTAAATGCTCCTCTCGCCACCTGCTGTGCCGAGCCCTGGCACACTCCCAGCTGTACCAAGGCCGAGGAGAGCGATGTCACCTGGTAGTGGCAGGAAGAATGGGTTGCAAGGGGAATCTTGAGAACACTTTGTGTGCTGCCGGGCTCAGCAGTGCCTGGCACACTCCCAGCTGTACCAGGGCTGAGGAGAGCGATATGACCTGGTGGTGGCGGGCAGGGGGGATGTGTTGCAAGGGAAATCTTGAAAACACTTCATGTGCTGCTGCGTCTAACCCTGGCACACTCCCAGCTGCACTGCGTGCCATCCCACCCACCGAGTGCTGGTGAATGTCCCTGAGAGTGGCTCCCGGCCGGCACATGGTAATGCACTCCACCATCGGTAATACGTGCCTGTGCCATCCCACCCACCACCCAGTACTCACCAGCAACTACACTCCACCTGCCTGAGCCTTACCCACACAGCACAAACCAAGTACCCACCGAGTGTTGGTGAATGTCCCTCAAAGTGGCGCCCGGCCGGCACAAGGCGATGCACTCCACCATCGGCAATACGTGCCTGTGCCATCCCACCATGCCCCTCAACATGCCCCACCCACCGAGTGTTGGTGACTGTCTCTCAGAGTGGCCCCCAGCCGACACATGGCAATGCACTCCACCATCGCCAGATGTGTGCCTGTGCCCCACCTACACACTACCATTCCGATGAGCCATCCCACCCACCGAGTGTTGGTGAATGTCCCTCAGGGTGGCCCCCGGCCGGCACATGGCAATGCACTCCACCGTCGTCTCCCGCACCGCCTCGTACACTGCTCTCTGCCACGTCAGCACATGCACAGGAGGGTTCTCTGCCACGTCAGCACACGGCAAGGGTACTCTAGGGAGAAGCTGCCGAAGGGCGGGCAGGAACATGCGCGCGGCATCAGAGGCATGGCATGCACAGAGGCATGGCGACATAAGAGTCATGGCGACATAAGAGTCATGGCGACATAAGAGGCATGGCGACATAAGAGGCATGGCCACATAAGAGTCATGGCGACATAAGAGTCATGGCGACATAAGAGTCATGGCGACATAAGAGGCATGGCGACATCAGAGTCATGGCGACATAAGAGGCATGGCGACATCAGAGTCATGGCGACATAAGAGGCATGGCGACATCAGAGTCATGGCGACATAAGAGGCATGGCGACATCAGGGGCATGGCGACATCAGGGGCATGGCGACATCAGGGGCATGGCATGCACAACCCTGAGGATCGGATGAGAGATGACCGATGAGGGAACCGTTTTCATGCGCCTCAAAAATCACACACAACCCTGAGAATCTGACGAGAGACCACCGACGAGGGACCAACACTGGTTGACTTTCGTGCCAATTCACAAGTCACTACAACCAACGGCCTATTCCTGACAAAATACGTGCCTGGGCGGAGGAGAATTTTCCAAAGGGCGGCCACACTCGAGTGATGTCAGATGCATAGCCGAAGTACTCACACCCCGCATCCACCAGTAGCGCCTCCCCCGGTTGCACCTGTGGGCAGAAGGGGTGGAGAGGAGAGTACAGGGAGAGTGGTGTTTAGACTGCTGGAAGAATCTCCCAAAGGGCGGCCACACTCGAGTGATGTCGGATGCATAACCGAAGTACTCACAGCACGCATCCACCAGTAGCGCCTCCCCCGGTTGCACCTGTTGGGGGGGGAAGAGGGGCGAGTGGAGTGGAGAGAAAAGAGAGTGTGTTTAGCCTGCTGGAGTGATATATGACACAACTTGCATCCACCAGTAGCGCCTCCCCCGGTTGCACCTGTGGGGGGGGGAGAGAAGGAGTGCAGAGGGAGTGGGAATCAAGACTGCCAGACTGTCTGAAAGACAATACAGCCTATCATCGAAACACCTTGCCCATTGCCCATTCACTGCCAACCTGTCTGCAAGTGTAGCCCCTTGCCCATTCACTCACCGGCTTGTCATTGCGAGGTAGTGAACAATTCACCTGTTTCTGAGTCGACTAAAAAACTGCAAGCGTAGCCCCTTGCCCGGGTAGTGCACTCCGGCTTTTGAGACGTCTCAATACCCGGGTAGCGCACCCCGGCTCACCGGCTTGTCATTGCGAAGGTAGTGAACGATGCAGCCGCTGCTGCCGCCTGCCACCACTGGAGGATAGCTGGATGATGGAGAGCAGTGGGGTAGGTGGGGAGGGAGTGGAAGAGGGGGAGAGGGAGTGGCACAGAGAGATAGTGGAAAAAGGGCCGGAGGTAGTGAACAATGCAGCCGCTGCTGCCCCCTGCCACCACTGGAGGGTAGCTGGAGGGGAGTGCGGGGTAGGGGTGGAGGGGTGGGAAAGGAAGAGAGAGGCAGAGTGGATTGACGTGGAGAAAAAAGGAGGGCGGAGTGGGATAGGGGTCGGCGTAAAGGGAGGGAGACAGGGTGGGAACGAAGCATGCACTGCTGCCGTTGCTGTATGCCACGACATTTGGATTGTTTGAGAGGGTGAGACAGGAAAGGAAAGAAAGGGAATGGTGGAGGAGGGAAAGAGAGGGATCACATGCGTGTGTGAAAAGGAGATTGGAAAGAATGGACGCAAAGAGGCATACAGGATGCAATGATGGTCTTGAGAGAAGGGATAGCATAAAGGTGTTACTTTTGAGAATTCTCAAAAATAAAACCAACCATGTGCCCTGACCTGGTTTTTGAGAATTCTAAAAAATGAAACCAACCTGTGCCCTGACCCCCATTTACCTAAGCTTTTACCTCCCTTCGCCAACTCTCCTTCCATTCCAGTCCCCTAGATATAGAGTTACAAACGAAACCATTGTATCACTGCCATGGCATCTCAAGCCCCCATCACTTACGCGAATCGCTGTGCTCCCCGCCGCTTGCACTCAAACTCAATCAGAGCAGAGATGTGCCCCTCGTGGGGCAACGACCCTCCCATGTGCGCTTCTTTACGAGGGGCTGAACCAGGCCCCCGGGCTGCTTCTCCTGCTGCTGCTGCTTCTGTGGTTCCTCCTGCTCCTGCTGCCACGGCTGCTGACTGCCTCATTGCTGCCAGGAAGGCCTGCAGGCAAAACACTCACACAAACACAAATATATACAAATATAAATATCCATACATATAAATATACATATACATAAATATACATATATATATATATGTATATCGAGGTGAGGTACGAGTGGAACCTACCCCCCATTCCGTTGCTCCTATTCTATCTATGAGGCACCTCAAAAGTGAGATGGTACAAATGCTACAATATCTCTTGACTAGCCAACCTGGATTGCCCTATCTCACTGCATCCCAGCAGCTTGCAAGAAGCCATGCAATCCAGGCCGTCCATCCATTACCTCTGCTGTGATCTCAGCCGCCCGTCGCATGAGCCTCTGTTCCGCCTCGGATTTGATCCACCGCTGCTCGTCCAGGGCGCTACGAGACGACAGCAGCCGCCCGGTCGCCAGCTCAGCGGCGAGAACAGGTACTGTAGCAATCAGATCGCGATTGGCCCGATGGTCACAGTAGAAGCGAGGAGGTGGAGAGCGGTCGGAAGAGTAAGAGGAGGGGAGGGAGGAGGAAGAGGAGAGTCGGTGTGCTGAGATGCGTTGTTGGGCCTGGAGCAGGTACTGAGAGTGTGTGAGAACGGAAGGGTGGGGGAAGAGAGGGTTGAAGGGGGGACATGTGCTGGGCCTAGAGCAGGTACTGAGAGTGTGTGAGATATGGAGGGGTGGGGAACGTGGTGGGGGGAAGGAAAGGGTGAGTGAAGGAAAATGGTGAAAGGGAGAAGAACCGGACAGAAGGAATACGGAAGTGGCACGACAGTTTCCATCTAACGTTGGGGGGGACAAAAGATTGGTACACTGCACAATAGGGTTCATTGCAAAAATGGGCATGAGTGCCTTGCAACAAGAGTGAAAGTACCTCGTTTAGAGCATCCACGAACAGGGCTCTGTGGGGTTTAAAGAAGGCCATGGCAGTAGGTGGGTCCAACGCCCTGCCGTCCCACACTTCCATCTGTGGGCGATTGAGTGAGGGGAACAGGGTGCAGAGGGGCTTGTGATGACGGGCTCTCTGAGTACAGAGGGGCTTGTGATGACGGGCTCTCGAAGTACAGAGGGGCTTGAGGCATTAAATGTGTGGTGTGGGTACACTTTTACAGCGGGGCTTGAGAAAGACATCGTACAACTTACAAGTGTGCTTTGGTTATGCAGAAAGCGAACTGAGCAATGGAGAAGGTTGGGTTAGGGGGGCGTTGAAGGAGAAATATTTGCAGGGATGAGAAGGGGAGAACACGAACATAATGGGAGAGAGAACGACATGCAAGAGTGCATGCCGTGCCAGCATGCCATCCCACCATGATACACCATCCCACCATGCCACGCCATGCCACCATGTCATGTCATCCCACCATGACACACCATGCCACACTATCCCACCACTATCTGCCATGCCTTTGCCTCTCTATCACACATGAAGCAGCCCACCCACCAACGCACATCAGCTCGTTGCCGCGGCAAAAAGAGTGTAAACTGCACATCTCCTCCCCCTTCCCCTCCACCCCCATCACCACCACCACCACTCCCCCCATCGCTCTCAATCACAGCCACCACACCCGGGTGCCAGCACCCAGTGAGGTAGATCAAATCCGAGTCCGGGCGGTAGGGGAACGGCACGATGCCGGCCATGTACCGCACTGGAGCCGCGCCCACCACTAGCACGCTGCCACGTGGCAGACGGGACATGACTGCCCTGCGTCGGGCGGCGAACTCTGACGCAGTGACACCTGGCAGGATGTCATTGGGGCCGATCAGCTGTGGTGGGAAGGAGTGCGAGAGAGGAGGGAGAGGAGCGGAGATGAGCGGGAGGGCGAGGGAAGGGGAGGGAAGGAGGTAAGAGTAAGGAAGGTGTTCTTTTTTATTCTCTGGAAGGTGGCTGGCTGCAGCGTGCTTTTCAACACCTTCCAGCAAATGCTGCAGCCGATCAATGCCTTCATTCTCCCTAGCTCATCCCCCCCATTCCACGCCCTATTCTTCTCACTCCTCTGTGGAGTGGCGGAGTGGCGGAGGAAGGAAACTAGTCTCCTTCCCCCACATTGGTTCACTCGCCAACAATGAGGCACTCACACACACTCCTCCACTCCAACCCCAGTCGACACGCCTCACAAACAGACCCTTCCTGGTTCCCACGTCTCTTCTCTTCGCCTCAACCCCCGCACCCCCAAACCCCAAACCCTTTTTCCGTTATGTTCAACCTTTTATTCCTTCTCCCAACTCCCCCTCTCCCTGCTCTCCCCCTTCTTCCTCCTCTTTCCTCACCTCTGAATGGCTGCCTATTCCTCTCCAAGTCCCCCCATTCTATCCCTCTCTTCTCTTCCCCCCCCGCACCCTCCAGGCCCCCCTTCCCTCAACTTCCCCCCTTCTCCTCCGCTGATTTCTCTCCCCCCCTCCTCCTCCCCCTTCTCCGACACCCCTCATCCTCCTATCTCACCTAAGAGTGGCTTTGGTGCGTTGAATGCCCACTCCGCTTGCATTGAGGTCGTTTTTGAGGCGCCTCAAAAATGAATGCCCACTCCGCTTCCACTTCCCCACCTCTTCCCCGGCAATTCCTTCCCCTTTCCCCTCCCGTTCCAACTGCCCCCATCTCTTACCGCCCCCCTTACCCCTCTCCCTCTCTTTCTCTCTCACCTCCGGGTGGCTTTCGTGTGTCGGCTGTCCCACATCCACGCTGCCGCCATCCCTCCAGTCACCTGCTGCCACGTGCAGACCTCGGCTGCAGCTGTGCTTCCAGCTGGCGACACACTGATCCGCGGTACTAGGGAGTGACGACGCACCGGAGATTCGATAGTGAGAGATTTGATATTGGGAGATCTGATTCACGCTCTGTATTCTGTGGGAGCTAGCACAACTTCCCTGGTTGGACTTTAGGCTGTGATCTGCACTGCAAAGAGGTGCGACCGCGCCGCGCGAAGGTGACTGGATGGGAGACGGAATTAGGACGGACGGCCACGATGATGCCGACTGGTAGATCGAGCGGTACTTGCGACGACATCTCGCGAGGCGCCACATGGCGACACGTGGCTAGTGAGGCCACGTAGATTGCAGTCCAGGCTTGGCGCGTGGAAGCGAGCCGATTGGCCGAGATAACCTGTTCCCAGCCTTGTGCGGCCCCTGATTTCGAGGCAGGGCGTGGTTGTCAAACCAGCATAATTTGGGTTTCCGGCCGTTTCGAATTCTCACATTAGCTAGCATTTCAGGTAAAACAAGCCAGGTTTAATGGCTTTAACGAATCATGATTATCGGGTACAGACAGAACGGTGGGGTTGGACCTGTTTTGAAAAAGCGCGGCAGAATGATTCGCTGTCAGAACAAGGTTGACAGGGAAGAAAGCCGATTGGTTGCTATGTTTTCGGATAGCTCGGCGATCGCCGCTGATGTTCGTCTGCCCCGCCAATGCTTGTTTTCGTTCAGCTTGTCAGATTGCCGGCGACTCTCGCGAGATAAATGTGAGCTTCCGGTTACACATTCTTGGGACAGCAAGTTCCCCCAAAGATTCGTCCTCGGACTGCAATGTCAGACTTATATATCTGGTCATTACACAGATAGCGTAGTTCATAGGGAATTCTTTTATAGCGCGAATTTTCCAACCTGCCAGATTCGCCGCGCCATGTCCGCATCAGCGCGCGCCGCATCACTCACTTGCATTCCGCTTCTCCGCTCCCGCGCGCTCCCCGCCCTTCCGCTATCCGCCAACGTCGCTTTCTCCCCAGCCCGCATTTTGAGCGCGCCCATCCTTCCGCCGTCTGGTTCCGCCTTCCGCGCGCTTTTTCACTCCGCGGAAGTTCCGCCTTTGCGGAGTCAGTATCTGCTCGGCGCTCGAACCGACCTCGTAAGCGCTTTCACTCCCCGCTTTGCGCCAGCGGCGCAAGGCTCGCACGCGATCAGCGGAGATTCACCACGCCTATCCCGCCCCGCAGCTGCTGATTCCGCCAGCCGACGAGGGAGCGATCCGCGGAAGCCAGCGATGGCGCACGCGGTGACTGGCGGAAGCGGCGGCGAGGAAGGGGTGGTTTCGGCGGAGCGGGCGGAGCGGAAAGTAGCGCCGTTCGGGGCATGGGAGTCCCCCATCGGCGCGGACATGGCGAGCGGCGCAAGCCTGCGCTTCGGGGGAGCGGCGGTGGATAGCGCGGGGCGCCTGGTGTGGGCGGAGGGCAGACCCACGGAGAAGGGGTGAGCAATTAACGGTTAGCTGTTGATGTGACTCAAACGAGGGCTAGCATGTTCTGAATTGACTCAAAACACGGTGCATGGCGCGGGGCGCCTGGTGTGGGCGGAGGGCAGACCCACGGAGAAAGGGTAAGCAATTTACCTCCTAGTAGTGGATGTGACTAAAAAGAGGACTAGCGTGCTCTGAGTCAACTCAAAACACGGTGGGTAAAGCTTGGCATTTGGTGTGGGCGGAAGGCAGACACAGAAAGGGTGAGCAATTCAACTATACCAGTAGATGTAATTGCGTTAGAATCGAACCACATGAGACTGTTGCCTTACATTGCCTTGGGACTTTGGCGGACACACAAGCCGATGGTGATGCTCACTTCCACACTCACTCTCGCTGCTCCAACCCCCCTCCTCCTCCTCCCCCCTCCCCACCCCATTGCAGTCGGGTGGTGGTGGTGAGGGAGGGGACACGTGGCGCAACCCCATTGGACGTCTCACCTCCCTCCATGAGCGTGCGATCCCGCGTGCACGAGTACGGGGGAGGGGCCTTTCTGGTCGCCCCTTTCCCTCCTCCTGCCACGTCAGCTGCCACATCGGAAGCCACGTCAGCAGCTGGAAGTGTGCCGGGCGATTTGCTGATATTCTCCAATGGAGCCGATCAACGGCTGTATGTGCTCGAGATGCCATCCGACGGCTCAGATTCTGCCGAAGGTGTGTCCACCAATCTGGCATGTATGTGCTAGCTACTTACTTGGTATGTGTGACGGATGGGTACATACAATCCGCATTAATGCATGCAATCGGCACTAAACCCTCTCTTTCCATCTCCTCCCACCTTGACATCAAACCCCTCCCATCCTCCTCCCCCCTTTTTCGTTCGCTCTCTAATGGTCCTTTCATTGATGTAGATCAAGGTACATTCATTCTCTAATGGTCCTCTCCAACCAACCCATCCCGCAGTGCCCCAGCCACGTCCGCTGACCCCTGTCGTCGAGCCACCTGGCGCGCTGCGATTCGCTGACGCCCGGTTGGACGCACACCGGAGGCGAGTGATATGCGTGCAGGAGGGTGAGTTGTGAGACGCTTGGGAAGCGGACCGCAAGTACCCCGGTGGTTCTGGGAAACGGACTGCAGTGGTGTGGGATGGGAGCAGAGCAGGATGTCTGAGACGTCTGGGAAGAGGAGAGGAGCACGAGTGATATGCGTCCAGGAGGGTGAGTTGTGAGACGCTTGGGAAGCGGACTGAGTACCCCGGTGGTTCTGGGAAACGGACTGCAGTGGTGTGGGATGGGAGCAGAGCAGGATGTCTGAGACGTCTGGGAAGAGGAGAGGAGCACGAGTGATATGCGTCCAGGAGGGTGAGTTGTGAGACGCTTGGGAAGCGGACCGCAAGTACCCCGGTGGTTCTGGGAAACGGACTGCAGTGGTGTGGGATGGGAGCAGAGCAGGATGTCTGAGACGTCTGGGAAGAGGAGAGGAGCACGAGTGATATGCGTCCAGGAGGGTGAGTTGTGAGACGCTTGGGAAGCGGACCGCAAGTACCCCGGTGGTTCTGGGAAACGGACTGCAGTGGTGTGGGATGGGAGCAGAGCAGGATGTCTGAGACGTCTGGGAAGAGGAGAGGAGCACGAGTGATATGCGTCCAGGAGGGTGAGTTGTGAGACGCTTGGGAAGCGGACTGAGTACCCCGGTGGTTCTGGGAAACGGACTGCAGTGGTGTGGGATGGGAGCAGAGCAGGATGTCTGAGACGTCTGGGAAGAGGAGAGGAGCACGAGTGATATGCGTCCAGGAGGGTGAGTTGTGAGACGCTTGGGAAGCGGACCGCAAGTACCCCGGTGGTTCTGGGAAACGGACTGCAGTGGTGTGGGATGGGAGCAGAGCAGGATGTCTGAGACGTCTGGGAAGAGGAGAGGAGCACGAGTGATATGCGTCCAGGAGGGTGAGTTGTGAGACGCTTGGGAAGCGGACCGCAAGTACCCCGGTGGTTCTGGGAAACGGACTGCAGTGGTGTGGGATGGGAGCAGAGCAGGATGTCTGAGACGTCTGGGAAGAGGAGAGGAGCACGAGTGATATGCGTCCAGGAGGGTGAGTTGTGAGACGCTTGGGAAGCGGACTGAGTACCCCGGTGGTTCTGGGAAACGGACTGCAGTGGTGTGGGATGGGAGCAGAGCAGGATGTCTGAGACGTCTGGGAAGAGGAGAGGAGCACGAGTGATATGCGTCCAGGAGGGTGAGTTGTGAGACGCTTGGGAAGCGGACCGCAAGTACCCCGGTGGTTCTGGGAAACGGACTGCAGTGGTGTGGGATGGGAGCAGAGCAGGATGTCTGAGACGTCTGGGAAGAGGAGAGGAGCACGAGTGATATGCGTCCAGGAGGGTGAGTTGTGAGACGCTTGGGAAGCGGACCGCAAGTACCCCGGTGGTTCTGGGAAACGGACTGCAGTGGTGTGGGATGGGAGCAGAGCAGGATGTCTGAGACGTCTGGGAAGAGGAGAGGAGCACGAGTGATATGCGTCCAGGAGGGTGAGTTGTGAGACGCTTGGGAAGCGGACCGCAAGTACCCCGGTGGTTCTGGGAAACGGACTGCAGTGGTGTGGGATGGGAGCAGAGCAGGATGTCTGAGACGTCTGGGAAGAGGAGAGGAGCACGAGTGATATGCGTCCAGGAGGGTGAGTTGTGAGACGCTTGGGAAGCGGACTGAGTACCCCGGTGGTTCTGGGAAACGGACTGCAGTGGTGTGGGATGGGAGCAGAGCAGGATGTCTGAGACGTCTGGGAAGAGGAGAGGAGCACGAGTGATATGCGTCCAGGAGGGTGAGTTGTGAGACGCTTGGGAAGCGGACCGCAAGTACCCCGGTGATTCTGGGAAACGGACTGCAGTGGTGTGGGATGGGAGCAGAGCAGGATGTCTGAGACGTCTGGGAAGAGGAGAGGAGCACGAGTGATATGCGTCCAGGAGGGTGAGTGGTGAGGCGCTTGGGAAGCGGACTGAGTACCCCGGTGGTTCTGGGAAACGGACTGCAGTGGTGTGGGATGGGAGCAGAGCAGGATGTCTGAGACGTCTGGGAAGAGGAGAGGAGCACGAGTGATATGCGTCCAGGAGGGTGAGTCGTGAGGCGCTTGGGAAGCGGGCCGCAAGTACCGCGTTGGATCGATTCATTCCAAGGCCCTGCTGCTTCTTTGTAGTCTCCTGTTTCTTCTCTCCCTTGCTTCTTTCCATTGCCCGTTTTCTTTGCCCTTTTTCATGCTTTACATGGCAGACCATCGCCAGATCAATGGCGGCGGGGGCGGAACAGAGGAGCATGGGGGGCATGCAGAGCCGAGTAACATGCTTGTGGCTGTTCCGTTGGATAGCGATGGTACTGAAGGTGAGTGGGTAACCTTCTTGTATAACACCTTTGATTCAAGTCGACAGCATGGGGAACATGGGGAACATGGGGAGCATGGGGAGCACATCTCTTATATCATATCCCTTCCCCATCTTCCAGCCCCACTGGTGCTGGCATCTGGAGTTGACATCTACGCCTCACGACTAGGTCCCCGTCAACACCTTCCCCCCTTTTCCACACCCCACCCCCGTAACCCCCTCCCTCACCGCCCTTCCCGCACCCACCAGTCCCCCTGGTGCTGGCGAGTGGAGCAGACTTCTATGCCTCGCGACGCCCGAGTGGAGTGGATGGAGTGGAGCCGCTTTGCACAGCCAGACTGGGTCCCCTTCAACCTCGTTTCCCCCTCCTCCCCCCCCTTCCAGTCCCCCTGGTGCTGGCATCTGGAGCCGACTTCTATGCCTCACCGCGCCCGAGTCCCGATGGCAGGCAGCTGGCATGGATGGAGTGGAGCCATCCCCACATGCCGTGGGAGAGGAGTCGGAACATTCGATGATGATGGGTATGTTGAGGCGTGGTGCGGTGCAGTGCGGTGTGGTGTGATCGGTATGTGTGTTTGTGTGTGGCATGGCGTAGCATTGCGTGGGTAAAATGGACCCACCCGCACATGGCATGGGAGAGAAGCCGCGTGATGGTCGGGACATTTGATGACACCAGGTATGTGATGGGTATTGGGGTATTGTGTGGTTGGCTCTCTACTGCCCAATCTCTCTCCACATTTGAGGCGCCTCAAAGAACGTGTATTGGGGAATTGTGTGGTTGGCTCTCCATTCCCCTCTCACCAGCGTACATCCGTCACCCTCCATCTCCCCAATCCATTCCCCTCCTCTCACTGCAATGTGTAGCAGCAAAAGCCCTATGATGTATCAAGTCAATTAACATCTTCCCCCTTTTCTGCTGCACCCTCTCTCTCCTCTCGCCCCACCTGCCCCCTTCAGTCGCCTCACGTCGGTGCAGTGTGCAGCAGGGGCAGATGCCGACCCATGGAACCACCTGGGATCTCTCCACATCTCTTTCCATCTCTCTCTCTCTCTCCTCTCGCCCCACCTGCCCGTCAGTCTCCTCACGTCGGTGCAGTGTGCAGCAGGGGCAGATGCCGCCATAATCGAAGCACCCATGGAGCCACTCTGGTCGCCACAAGGTAATGAAAGAGAGAGAGTGCACAGATATGTGGTAACCAACATAACCATGATGCTGCTTTGGCACTACATGTACGGACAGCAGGGGCAGATGCCGATATGATCAAGGCACCTGCCCCTGCTGTCCGTACATGTAATGAACTCTGGTCACCCATGGATGGAGCCTCTCTGGTCGCCACAAGGGAGGTAACGCACGTGAGAGTGGGATACACTCTCCTTATAGCCACTTTGTCCCATCCCAGGCCAGCCAAACCGTCTTTTGAGACGTCTCAAAAGCCACTCTGGTCGCCACAAGGTAGGTAACGAACGTGAGAGTGGGATACCTACTCTCCTCAACGTGAGGTAGGTACTCTCCTTATAGCCACTTTGTCCCATCCCAGGCCAGCCAAACCGTTGCAGGTGCTTTTTTTCTAGAATTCTCAAACAACACCTGCATCCCAGGCCAGCCAAACTGCCCTGCTGCCCAGCCAAACTCTCCTCTCCCCTCTCCCCTCTCCCCTCTCCCTTCTCCCCTCTCCCCTCTCCCCTCTCCCCTCTCCCCTCTCCCCTCTCCCCTCTCCCCTCTCCCCTCTCTCCTCTCCCCTCTCCCCTCTCCCCTCTCCCCTCTCCTCTCTCCCCTCTCCTAAGCCAGCCAAACCACCCTGCTGGTAACCACTGACTGCTGCTCTCCCTTCTCCTCTCCGATCCCTTCAGGTGACCTCTACTTCCTCTCGGATCGACACTCCGGGTTCTGGTCTCTTCACCGATGGGTGGGTTCTGCTGCGCGGGTGACATCTGTTTGGGTGGTGATAGTTGCTCGTTATGATGTTTTTAGGTGTTGTTTTAGGTGGTTTTTTTATACATATTGTCATTTTTGTTCCGTACAGTTGTTTAGGCGTTTTCTGCTAAAGAAAGGCTATGGGGATTGGTTGGGGGAGGCTGGGTTACCCCCCTGGGTGTTTGTTAGCCTCAAAAGCTGCTTCCCCCCTCCTCCTCCACCCCAGCTGTCTGCAGAATCCCACATCAGCCACAGCTGCAGCAGTGTCAGACATGGCAAAGCAAGACGGAGCCGATCTGCTGGTGGAGGTTGGGGGACCCCTCTGGGTGTTCCGTTAGCCTCAACAGCTGTACCCCCCATCCTCCCTGCCCCCCTGTCCTCTGCTCTGCAGAACCCCATATCAGGCACAGCAGAAGCGGTGTCAGATATGCCAAAGCATGATGGAATCGATCTGCTGGTGGAGGTTGGGGGACCCCTCTGGGTGTTTGGGAATGCGAGTTATGCTTTCATCCCTGGCAGCTCGCACCACGTTGCCGTCATATGCCAGTGAGTTATCATAATTTCTTTTAGGGTGCACTAACAGAGGATCGAAGCACCCCTCTGGGTGTTTGGGAATGCAAGCTGCGCGTTTATACCTGGCAGCTCGCACCACGTGGCTGTCATCTGCCAGTAAGTTGTTATGTTTCACTGTAGCCTGCACTAACAGTGGGGATTGAAGCAAGCAACCTGCTGGGTGTTTGGGAATGCCGGAGACGCGTTCATCCCTGGCAGCTCACACCACGTTGCTGTCATATGCCGGTGAGTGAGTTTGCTATATGTCACTTTATGCTGCACTGTGATTGGGGATTGAAGCATCCCTTTGGGTGTTTGGGAATGCCGGCTATGCGTTTATCCCTGGCAGCTCACACCACGTGGCTGTCATCTGCCAGTGAGTTGAGTTGAATTGCCTCCTTGTGTGTGCTACCTATCACACCGCAATAGTACTGCAATTTCTCAAACGCCCCTCCCACCTTCACACTCCCTCCTTCATTCCCTCACTTCCTTCCACCCTCCCCCTTCCTCTCAGAGTGAAGGGGCAGTCTCAGCTGGGGGTTATCGACACCCACACTCACTCCTTCACACTCACTCCTCCCTCCCACCCTCCTCTCACTCAGATGTCCCACCTGGTACGTGACTGGTTACCACGTACTCCCATGTTCTCAACTCTATCTCATAGCTCTAGCTCCCGCAGAGTTTTCGGCTTTTTGTTGCTTTGAGCATGTTCCATTTTCAGAGTTGCTGCTCTAGCAGCACTATGAGTTAAACCTTCAGCTATGAGCGAAGACCCTGGTCGTATTGCTCCTCCCCGGTCGACTTTAAATTCAAAGCTCTAGTACCCGCAGAGTTTTCCCTCCCTATATGACTAGCGCTGTTAAGCTGGGCGAAGCGTAACAGGCACTACACCACACTCATATGTATCTCATACTCATATGAATATTACCAAACTCATTATGCCATGATATCACGTCACATCGCAACACCAACATCACTATACTCACATCACACCGTCGTTACATACCCACATTTCTATGAGCAGGTGGCCGGCAAGGATCGTCTTTTTGTGTGCGCTGGCGGTCCCTCCACCCCCCTCTCGTTTTTCGAGGTGCTCTCTGATGTGTCAGCATCTGGTGCTTCAACGCGGTTCTGTGTGGTTCAATGTGCTTCACTGCGGTTCTGTATGGTGCACTTTGGTGCAGTGCCTTCATGCTTTCGTCCATGTTTCGGTTCTATTTCAGCATACGACCTCACTGCAAGTCACCCACACCCCCGTCCCTCCTCCACCCCCATCCGCTCGTCCACCTAACCCAAGGAGCACCGCATCGTTTTATTCTCGCATCTGGAACAGTAGTTTCCTCATCGCGTGTCTTCCCTTGTGCTTGTTCCCCGTCCCACTCCAACAGCTGAATCCCTCCCCAGATATGACCTCCCTGCAATTCATCCACCCAACCATCCGCGCGTCAACAGCCATCCACACCACGTCACTTCGCCCCCTGTTTCGTGATGAGTAATTCCTGTGCTTCTTGCTTTTGTGTGTGCGGCCCTTCCCACGCCCGTCCCATTCCTCCAGCTGCAACCTTCCCCAGATATGACCTCTCTACAAGTCATCCACCCCCCCATCCGCCCGTCAACAACCATCGACACCGCGTCCCTCACCCCCTTCCTCTCCTCGCCTCAATGGATCGAATTCCCCACCACCACCCCACCAGCCCAAGCAACCTCACCAGCCGATGCACTTCACACCACACCACACTCCGCTGCACCCATCCGCACGGCCCATGCGCTCTTCTACCCACCTGCCAGCGGCACCTATCAAGGGCCGGAGGGGGCGCTGCCGCCGCTGCTGGTGAAGTGCCACGGGGGCCCCACGGGGTGCCTCGACTCCGCCCTGCGCCTGCTGCTGCAGTTCTGGACGTCCCGAGGCTTTGCTGTGGTCGACGTTAACTATGGGGGCAGCACGGGTGAGTGGTGTAGGGGCAGCACAACACCACACCACACTCCTCCCACTCCGCACCCCCTAGTGCAGCACACACACGCCCTAGTCCCTGCTTTCTGAGTTAGGCTCAGAAATTCTCCCAAGAGTCACAAGGAGCGCTCACTCCCGCCGCTGCTGGTGAAGTGCCACGGGGGCCCCACAGGGTGCCTCGACTCAGCTCTCCGTCTGCCGCTGCAGTTCTGGACGTCCAGAGGCTTTGCTGTCGTGGATGTGAATTATGGGGGCAGCACGGGGTGAGTTAGTAGTGGGATGGGGGCAGCACAACACACACAATACACAACACCACACTCAGCACCCACATCACCTGCAGTTCTGGACTTCCAGAGGCTTTGCTGTCGTGGATGTGAATTACGGGGGCAGCACGGGTGAGTGGGGATGCTGCTCAGCCGGATGCATCTGGTAAGTACTTCCTCTTTGTTCACTTTTGAGGCGCCTCAAAACCGCTTGGTCTTTGTGTTCAGGTGCGTTTTGAGTTGACTCAAACCACACATGGTCAATGGGGCGTGGTGGATGTTCACGATGCATGCTGCTGCGTTGAGTATCTGGTAAGTACTTCCTCTTTGTTCACTTTTGAGGCGCCTCAAAACCGCTTGGTCTTTGTGTTCAGGTGCGTTTTGAGTTGACTCAAACCACACATGGTCAATGGGGCGTGGTGGATGTTCACGATGCATGCTGCTGCGTTGAGTATCTGGTAAGTACTTCCTCTTTGTTCACTTTCGAGGCGCCTCAAAACCGCTTGGTCTTTGTGTTCAGGTGCGTTTTGAGTTGACTCAAACCACACATGGTCAATGGGGCGTGGTGGATGTTCACGATGCATGCTGCTGCGTTGAGTATCTGGTAAGTACTTCCTCTTTGTTCACTTTCGAGGCGCCTCAAAACCGCTTGGTCTTTGTGTTCAGGTGCGTTTTGAGTTGACTCAAACCACACATGGTCAATGGGGCGTGGTGGATGTTCACGATGCATGCTGCTGCGTTGAGTATCTGGTAAGTACTTCCTCTTTGTTCACTTTCGAGGCGCCTCAAAACCGCTTGGTCTTTGTGTTCAGGTGCGTTTTGAGTTGACTCAAA